AGTGAACCCCGAGCTAAATATCTGTTGCATGTCCTGGTTTCAAGCAGTATACACACAAAAAATATATTCGTGACACTTTATGGCCTCCATTAAGAAAAAAAACAATGACCCGTCATGTTTTGGGAGACAGACGTTACAATCCTAGACCGTAAGTAAGCACCACATCAAATGTGGTGCCTTTTGTCCGGTTGGTCACCCTCAACTTCGATAACATGTTGCTTAGGTTGCCGAACTATTGAGGTAATGTGTAGATTACATTGGCACACTTATCATAAAGGGCGTGCCACACGCGTTCATGTCTGCAGTGCCTCATGTTGGTTTTGTATGTGAAGTGTTGGCAGTGCGCCTGTTTGATTTCAACGTCAGCTCGCTGTATTGTCAGGTGAAACTGAAGCAGTACTGGGTGGGGGGGGGCTGTGTAGGTTGTGTTTTATTAACACTGTCCTGCTCATGTTTACACAACCAACGTTTGTGCGTCTCAAATGCTCATTTAGAAACGTTCGAAAAATCTATATTTCATTATTTAGTCCTCCAAAAAGTGATGGTGCAGAGGTTTCTTGGTTCCATTCGTCGCGTCCGGTCAATCTACAGTTTTAAGTTATTTTAAGCCTCATGCTAAACACTTACTAATATACTATCCCTATCACCAGTGAGCCGAGTGATTTGTTTCCCGTGGAGTGTGACATGAAACCCCAAAAAAACGTGAAACCCACTTAGGTACTCATTACTAATACAGAACATGCTTGTTGTGTCACCAGTGTACAGCATTTAACACTGCAGTGTAAGTTTATAGCACAATTAAGAATATCATGGGGCTTTTTTCATTTTCACCTTCTGTATCATATTTACAACATTGTCACTTGGTGAAAGGTAAAAATATGAGGCTTTATTTTGCTTTACATTTTTTTGCCAACGAGGAGATTTTACACAAGTGCTAGATTTGGGTGAAATGTATACGATGCTCTTTTGAAAAACGAGACACTGAAATGTTTTCATTTACATGCCAAGATTACGGTTGGCTTTAAAACATTCCTCAAGGGTGACACATCCGGTTCTTAGCTTTACATTAATGGAGGTCATTCATGAATCCTTGACAAGAAGTCATAACAGCACATTGTGGGGAAAACTGTCGAAGGATATGTAACATCTGCAAGAGCACAAGAGAGGCGGACTGGCATCCATTCTGCACTAGTGTGCAGAGCCATGCAACTGGCACACATCATCAGGAAATCTAAATGTGGATGCTAACAAGCAAGATATCACAAAAGAGAGTGATGGACTTTGTGGTAATGTTGCGATATTAGGCGATGTTAGCGAAGTAGGGTTATGTACATTACAAGAAAACCAATATGCACTTTCATTAAACTGATATAATTTGGCACCGTTTTTTTTCAAATCAGTGAGTACTTTATACAGTTGTGGATTCAGTGAGCGAACGTTTGGCTACGGCTCATAACAAAATCAAACATAAAAAATCTGGAGAAAATTCAACAAGACTCACAGTACATTCCTGACTTTTTGATTACACTACATACTATGTGCACTTAATATAGGATGGGACATTAATTATCATCATCTATGGTCAATCCACTGCTGGGTCAAAAGCCTTCCAAAACTTGCAGCATCTCTCGCAATCCCAGGATATAAACAATTCAACTACATCTTGTGCATAAGCTACTTTGTCTGGATGCACTCTCCGACACGTTCCATCCGTTGGCTGCCAATTCTTCCATTATTCTTGATCATTGTTCATCAACCCTTCCAAAGACGTCTCTTGCCCAAGCCCCAATGACTTTTCTGAACTTCTCAAGGTGCTGTTGAGCTGCGCACGCCCTCTGATCTGTCATCTTTTCGTCTCAAAATGTAATTTCAAGCATGTAAGGGGGCATTCATGTTTCAAGTATATAGTTTCATTGGTTGGGTCTGTTTTGCAAAAAACATGTTTTTTTGCAGTCTTTTAAAACGTCAGTACTGAGAGACGATTACATGCTTTGATTCACTGCCGGATGTATTAGTGAAATGCTTGTAATTTTACAAAATCACAATATCATGTACACTGTTCTGAAGTTAGGTTTGAAAAGTGTGAAGTGCCCTTGTCTAATGTATTCATGTGCGTGGGATGAAAAGTGTCCACAAACGAGTCATGGGTTTACGTGAATTCATTTTCTATTTAATGACCGGATTTTTTTTGATTTTTTCTCAATTGACAAGGTCGAGTTCACATACCTCATTGTAATGCAACTGGAAATAGTTGACAAGCAAGTGACTGTCCAGTCGCAATAAGGAAAACATTAGGGCAGTGTTTAGAACCCATTGGTTAATTTACTAAACATTGCCTCTTCTCATTTGCATATTAGTGGGAGCGCATGCGCACCCAATAGTTACACTCGTGTCTCCGATTATCACGGGTGGCTATGTACGGTGCGAAAGAAGTTCAACATACCTTTTAAAGTATGGCCACTTGTAAAGAGAAGCCACCACCTGTTGTCACATTTTACTGAAAATACATTTGTATTTTAATCGTGATCATTATTGTAGTATATGTTATTGGCCTCATCAGTTATAACATGAACTATTCAGCCTTAAGTCGGTCCACGACCGGATAAAGTCCTATCCAAGCTGCATCACTCATGGGGGTTGTTTAACCGTGGTCGGTGGGGCCGGGGAAGATTTGGGCCAGGATCGTTTCAGATATCACTCGCCACTGTTAGTCGTGGCCTGGAATTGAACTCGGGTAGCTCGGTTAAAACGTTATCCATTAAGTTATTCACCGTGACATTGGGAGATGTGCAATGGAAATTCTACTGGAGAAACTAAGGGTACAAATATAAATGGAAAAAAACATGAACGATTAACCACTGGCTCGGGCAGAACACATCACTCGAAGGAATGATAGCCGGTGGGTGAGAATGACTACTGATTGGTAGCCAAATGGGGGGGGAGCAAGGGCCCATGAGGACATCACTGCAGAGATTTAGCAATGAGGTCGCCTCCTGTGCAGCCGCTGGGTAGATTGTTGCGTCGTTGAACCGCGGAGGTGAATTGGGAAGGAATTCATTCAGGAGTGGATTGATCATGGCTGATGACGGAGCAGAGTTAATTCGATGAACCTACTTATATGATTTTCATAATCACATGTTTTTTTAATCAAAAAGGTTGAAAATGTAATTGGGAGAATGCGTTTGTTATCCTTTCCATGAAAATAGATTTGTATCCTCACTGAGATTAGATTCGATTACATATTTGCAGAAACAAAGCGCGTGGAGTGAACAGTTCAATGGCCAGTCTGACGTAGAGCTCTCGACCGACAGTGTACATTTACACAAGTCACCTACCAACACGAACTTATACTAAAAGTCGACGGACATTATCAATTTACACAACAAGTCACCTACCAACACGAACTTATACTAAAAGTTGCAAAGGGCATACCTTATTCAATGGGGCGCCATGATGGCAAGATGTTATTTCCCTTGCCTGGTATACAGGAGGTCGTGGGTTCAATCCTAGACCCTGACCCCTGCATATTTGGAGTTTGCAAGTTCTCCCCGTGGTCGGGTGGATTTTTCTTTGGGTCCTACTGTTTTCCCCTTCACATTTACAAACGTGCGTTTAGAGTATTTGGCTGCGAAAGATTTTCCACGTGAAAAGCCTACTTCGTTGAGTTATGTTTTGTGGCCACGTCGCTTATGAAAAAGAGCTATACAGCTCAGTGGGCCTTACCTGGCAAAAATAATACATAGTTTAGTTTTAGTTTATAATCACGGTGCAATACAAGTGGGGGAGTGACAACTTGCTATTTGAATCCACGGCATCATTTCTCCTCTTCCCACTGGCCCAGCCGTCACGAGCAAGGGGCCTTGACATGCTGCGTGAACCCGGCTCGCTGCGATCGGCTGCCCGCCACGCATCCCCTGATTGACAGAGCGCGAGATGTTTGTGTTTCGTATTCGATGGTGAATTTTGAAGGGTGAAAACCTGGGAAAATTGAACGAGTAAATACCCAGGTCGGTTAGAGCCCCGTTGTAGGTAACCTATTTGGGATTGATTTGGCGTGGGGAGGGGTGGGGGCAGTTAGGAACACTCGAATAGAGCGGTGGAAAGGATAAAAGGGGGCGCATGGTGAGCTTGTGGCTTCTTTCAGATGGTGTTTCCTATGATAGTGGCACCTTTCAGATCGTGCTTGTGACACCTTTCAGATGGTGCTTCCTTCGATAATAGCACCTTTCCGACAGTGCTTTTTTACAAGTGTGCGTCGCCATGAGGCTGGCGACAACTCATCGTGGACTCCTTTACACGAACATACCCATCGCAAGAGGTTAAGCAGAACAAAAACAGCCAGTGTTGTAAGATTTGTTTACCAACCAAATTAGAGGACAAAAGGCACAGCCACCAATGACAGGTTAAATAAATGATTGTATTCGGAAATGCTGTTACCCCGATGACCTTCGATTTGATGTCGACACGCCATCATGTTTTGCAATGACGCTTCATTGCCACTCACTGCCACAATATTCCCTCCTTGCCAAGTGTACATTTTGACATTACGTGATTACAGCGACGTTTGGAAAAGGAGGCTATCGCTTCTGTGTTTATCTGACAAATTCCCACAACTACGAGAGCTTGTAGTTGTAAATACTGGCGAAACGTCGTACTCAGATTTCAAATGTTGTGGCTCGGCTCTCCAACACACCGGTTTGCTATACTAGTGACGAATTGGCACGTTCTGTTTAAGTGACAAACCTTACTCATTGGCTGTCGGGTGGTGGCGGGTTTAACGACACATTTATATATTTACGCGATCTAACAAAAAAAAAAACTTCTGTATTATGGATGATATTGGTCGCGAAAGCCTACGTGTTAAACTCATTAATTTACTTTCGCAATACTTTCGAAGAGCGGTTGCAAGTGCTCGCGGTTCCTCGTGTAAGCACAACGGACTGACGCTCATCTTTGTCATTCTCAACGGCGCACCCAGTGACTGCTGCAGAACTAGGGAAGGGTTTTTTATGCAGATTTTATTTACATTAATAATCAGATGTTTTAACGTAAGTAATACAAAATATATAAACGAGACCAAGCACTGGAGAGCAAATGTAAAAAAGAGGCAAGCATTGGAACCAACAAATCTTATTTTTTAAATTAATAAATAATCATACAACCATACCAGTAATAAAATAAAAACGAGAAAATGAAACGAAAGGTTTACATCCAGGCTAGTCACATTAATAATGTACACCAACGTAATGGACACACGCGCAGTTATTCGCACGTGCGGTAGCTCAGTGCAGGAGCTAAGCGCTCCGTGCAAGACACTGTCTAGTACATAAAAGCAAATAGCAGCCATGACACAGAGTAGAAACAAAAACAATTCAGTGCAGAAGAAAGGTGACATTAATAAGTTACATTTGTGAACAAGCAATACATCGAAATAGACAGGTTTTTTTTGTACTTTATATAAATGTGCGTCTCTCAGGCTTGACTACAAGAAGGCAAACTATCATATATTAAATAAAGACGATTGTATGCTACGTTTGTGTCCAGCCAAAAGCATTCCTATATTTTAGAGGCAACTTCTCAATCAAGCCATGCTTTCTAAATTATATTGCTTAAATTCTCTTCCTTATATTAATTTGTTTTAAAATATGCGCACTATAAGTTTATACAATGCATTATTATAAGATGCATTTATCATGCGAGCACATGTAATTTGTTTTAAAGCTTTCTATACACTCCATATATACATATAACCATATTACATTCAACCTTCTTTGTTTATCTGACAAATGCCCGCAACTATGAGAACTTGTAAAGGAGCAAAGCTCGGTCTTCCTGCTTTTCCAACGTCTGTGCCATCCTTCGTTACATTTCCAGTGTGCATTATGTTAAGCATGTTTGTCTACAAAGAGCTTATTCAGTTATAAAAGTGCAGGAAGTGTATAGAGCGAGCCTATAACCTCATGAGATGTGACCCGAGGACAGAATATGGACAGTAACCTACTACTAATCCTATCTGCATGCTACTTTGAGCTATTGAAGTGTTGGGACGGCAGTGAAGGGACGGCACACGTTAGCTACACGATTCCAAGGCTGCTTGATGGGAAAGGTGACACAGTTACTTCATGGAGGAGCAGTAGCTCCCAATCTTTTGTCAGGGTGGGCCCACCGTTTAGCACGGTCTTTTTTCTCTTCGGGTCACCTTTTGATCCACCTTATGGGACCGAAGATTGGGAGCAACTGATCAATGGTATGCATTATACCCCACGTATGTACTTTTTGCTCAAGCTTGTTTGTATTGCACATACAATACTTCGTGGTAAATGTCCACATTATTGGCCTATGCCATGCAGTGCAGTTTCCATTTTTTGTCACACCAGAGTAATTATGACGTGTTCGTATGTGTGTGCGTATGTGTGTGCTTGTTGTGTATATATGCACTTTTTTTGTTTTAGGGGGCCCAAGTTCTGCATGCAAAAGCCACAGTTGTTTGAGACTAACAAAATGGAAGGGGCATTCGTGTATCGACAACGGACATTATTTGAGGGAACATTTACTGAGAGAGAAAATAAGAGCAGGGAGACTGAAATGGAAGGACTTTAGGTGTTATGAAAACATTTACACAGTAATCAAGCTCTTTAATATGTATGGTACACATAATTTCACCCAGTAGTTTAGAACAGACATCGGTTTACTCTGTGCGACATTCCAGTGGCTACACGCACGAGTGTAATTCAGACATCCATGGATATAGGTGCATGGGGGGGGGGGGGCACCAGTGAAAGGATTACAAAGTTAAAAAGACAGCGGATAAAGAGTTGAGGTGGGTTCACGCTGGATCGCTTAACACACGCAATGTAACGTAATGGCCACTTAAGCCTCACTTCAGGGACGTCACGGTGAGGAGGGGGGGTTCAGATGAAGAGTTTACGTGCCCCCTAAAACCGTTCGCTTAGGGCTGAAGTTTTAGAATGCCGAGGATACGAGCCTGGCAGCCAATCGAGGTTATGGGGTAGAGCAAAGAAGGGGGGGGGGGGGGTGGGTTGGTGGGGCTCAAGGGCTCTGAAGCAGTCGTCACGCACCACGTGCCACACCACGGGGGGCAACCTAACGCACGAGGGGGGTGAGTTACGTTCCACGCGGTTGTGTGAGCACGTTTCGCGTAACGTAAGGCACGTGACGTTCACTTAAACGCAAGTCAAAAGATCCAGCGTGAACAGCCCACCCTGGACGAGGGGGCAACAGGGTTTTAGGATCTGACACGGATGGGATGGGTGGGGGAGTAGAACCCAGGCCTGGCCTAGCACGAGATGGTTGAGTGGCGTCCTCCCAGCGGGGCTGTTAGGTTGTCAGGCTGTGCTTCTGAGGACTTTCCACTTCTCGCGCTTGCTTTAATTCCTTCATTCTGTGCAACCGAGAGAGAAGGTTGGCAGGGTTGGGGTTGGGGGGGGGGGGGAAATAAAGCATTGGCAAGACAAATTAACGAGCCGTTTTAGGAACACACCATTTGCCACCGTGGTGCAAATGTAGTGGCCGCACATAGTGTTTCCTGTAGGCCTCATACGTTTGTCAAAATGCATGAGTTTTTTTTTCTCGAAAACACTCGACATGCCAATACATTTTGAAGGCTACTTCAGCAACGCATGAACTGGGTAAATCGAATGCAGCTCGGAAAGAGAACAAAACCATGCGTCACGTGCACAGGATAGCAAATCGACAAAATCAAACATCTCCAAGGCGCGTGTATAAAAGGGAAAGTGAGCAAGGGGACTTAGTATGCGCAACAAAATGCAATTAACGGAGGGGGTTCAGACGAAACGAAACGTTTAGGTTGCACAAAGTCACTGTACAGGAAACACTATCATGCACAGACCAGAGAAGACATGCACTGTGTCGGCCTACAACCAGTCAACAGTTTGCAAGGTGAAGATGCCTGGGCATGTGGGACCCTTGCGCGGACATGCACATTCTACTGATTGCACCGTAAGAAGTCTGATCAGCACTGCGCTGTCAGTAGCACAAGTGCAACGATGCCTCGATTGTCTCCAAGCATGCAATTTTAATTGTAGGTTATTTTAAAAAAAGCACATTGATAGATTAATGTACTTTTTTCCCCTTTTTTTTGGCAAGGGCGGCGGGGGGGGGTGTTTAAATGCAATCGGCAAGCAACACTTTGCGTGGAACTTCTCTCGAGTAAAAAGCACAAGTCATGCCCGTGTAATGGCTCCATAATTTGTAATGCCTCATTTTCTACCCTCCACGAGTGCGTCTTAAGACGACAATCTTTGCACTTGGGATTGAATTTTTTAAAAAGCCACAATATAACTTGATTCATACATATTTACAGAAAGAAATAAATGCATCCAAGTATAGAAGCTGCTAAAAGAAAAAAAATCAGCAGATGTAAATAATGTTAAGGCATGATTTGAAATACACATGCGGAGAGATTGACAATTGGCAGAGGTAAATCATGCACATTCGTAATGTTTTGTATAAGTTATCTTCTTTATGAAGGAAGTTTTGTAACACTTTGAAGAATTAACCCATGAGTTATACTTTTAAGATGAAATTAAACCTATATGCATGTCCATAACCAACAGTTGTGTACCAAGTAACACACTAAAATTTTAGTGGTTTTATGGACAGCAATAGCTTGAGCATTGTATTTGAAAATTACTGGGTGACATCATCACCTATTAATATTAACCTGACACTGATGGGACGCGAAACATAGAAAACAGGCTCTGACAAAAAAAAACATAGGCATGAAAACAAAAGAGACAGCAACAACTTCAGAAGTGCAACACATAAAAAAAAGGCAATGGTTACGTAATTTAAAACAAAATTTACAACGAAGGAACGTTCTCACGGAATTAAAATGAGGGGGCGTTGCCACGTGAGAAAATGGCTCTTGACAATTATTGGCAGACCTTGAGGTCTCCGTGTCGTATTTGGTTATTTAACGCACGAACAAGTGCACACGGGTGACAAATTGTTGGCAGACACTTGAGGTCTGCCGCCTTATTTTGTTGTCATCGAAACTCACCTTGGATGCGTAAATACCAACAGAGCCAGTTGCCAATTATGATGAATGAGAATGCAAATATGAAACAGAAATGACGTGAATTCAACGGCATACAAATATAACGAATGGCTGGGTTGGGGGCTGGGGTAGAAACAGAAGCACGTTGGGAAAAAACTTTTTGGAGCAACAAAAGAACAACAAAAAATACATTATTTGCCTCTCATGAGCAATGTGTGCTTAGTGAGCGAAATGCACCGCTGTAAGTGAAGAACTGCGTTCAAAACTCGAGGCCGATTCATGCGGCTGGTATTGACACTCGAAACGACTTTTGTCTCGGTGGACCTGGAAGGTGGAGAGGCATCAACAAGGGTCCTGAGAGAGGTCAAGCACCTCTCTCGAGTTCATCGTGATGGCAAGGATGAGGCTAGCAGCCATTGTGCCAGCAGGCCATTCACCATGCAAGCGGTTGAGAGGGTGTGCAGGCTTTGGGTTTAGGAGGAGGTGGGGGGAGCAGTGGTATAGAGACAGGGGGTGTGGGTGGGTGGTGTGGGTGGGTGGTGTGTGTGTTCGCACGCGTGCACTTGCGGAAGGCGGCCACAAAACAGTCACTCACCCTTCGAAAATGTCTACTCTCCAAAATCGTTCTTTGGACAGTGTTAAAGAGAAGAGAACGCAAGATGTTTGCATTCTGCTTTTTGTTTAGTTTAAGAATTTCCCGACATGATGTAACGTGCAGAAGGTGTGTACGTGTGAGATGCAATTTGTGCAGCACTAGTGAAGGTATTTAATAATAATGCTGTTTGGCTCTTCCACTGCTAGTTTAAGCCATACTTCAGCATACTGGTCTGTGTGAGTTGATGCCCAGGACTGGTAGAGATTATCACTCACCGCTGACGTTAGCCGTGGTCAGTAAGCAAACTCAGGTCACTGGGTTCAGAGCAATGTGCAAATCACTGCGCTGCCACTCCCCTCCCATTACGATTACATGCATATATATTGACCAAATTACGTGCCGTACGTTTTGACCAAAATATACTATTTGTGAGATAGTTACTCTTTAAGGTACAAAAAAAACCTAAAATCATGTAAATGTACTTGAAGCACAACAGAAACAAATATATTCCTACTGTATGCCGAAATAATAATCAGCTTTACAGTTTAGAAATGTTATAGAGTGAACTAGTTGCTGTGAACTACACGTGTACACCCTTGAATACTCAACTCCATGTGTGTGTCTGATGTGTTGATGGTATGTACACAGTCTTAATATAACCTTTGACCAACAGTATTACACTTCGGTGTGCTTTATCCCCATATATGTGCACACCTCAACACTTTGTAAAAACTACTTAATTAAATTCACGAGTAAAAAATTAAAGTCGAAAATCTCTGCATCACCAAATCTTTGCGTGGTATTTAATTTAACACGACCTCTAAAACCCCCAACCAACTACAACTACAAACGCAATCTCTAAACAACATCACATTCGCTTCCGATAGATACAATAACAAATATTTAGATTAAAAAAATTGCATAATGATGTTATAATCTAGTAGAAGCTGGCTATAAGGCCAGATGTGCTTATATTCGAAGAGTGCTTCTATAAGAAGTTGCTTGTTGCATCGCCTCACAAGCACATTATAGCGATTTTACTTATAAGAGAGCTGTGCTTATAAAACTTGCCCTTACATCCAGCTTCTGTTAGATCATTTTTAGATATGCACAATACTTACGTTTTAAATTTGAAGATGAAAATGTATATCACTGCTGCAAATGTTATAGTGTTTTAATAAATTATATGTAAACTTTACTCAGCACAGTACTCAATCTTTAAAGACTCAAACTGGAAGAGTCTTGAACCCTTTTGCAAATGTACGTTTGAGGGTCGACAGAAGGAAAAAAAAGTAGCGATTGATATAAAATGAAAGTACTGTTATATATTAACAAAGTGCAGTACTTCATGCGAGAAAGAAAGCAATGGGAATCCAATTTTTAAGCCACCCTTATTAGTAAATTAGTCAAAAGCAAAACCCCAAAAGGAGCCGAAGTTTTTCCGTCTGGTTTGCAGTCCTTTTACCTGTGTCTACTTCTTCGAAGGAACCTCATGATTTTTCGCGCAGCTTGGTCCTGGTTCTTGCTCAAGAAGCTTCCCCTAAGTAACAAAATACAAAGGTCAAACAAAACGTTAAACGCATCTCTTTTTTGTTTGTTTTAATGAAGTCTAAAAAACGACTGTGGGATTTATAAAACGACAAAAGTTCACTTAAACATGTTTTTACGACTACAGCACGTATCTTTACACCCCACCTCTCTACTAACAAACATTGTATTATTCTTATGCAAACCAAATATGGCTATTCAACATTCATTTGATCCTTATGGCGGTACCCTGGGGTACCAAATAATACAAAATGGCCAAGGCAATTAAATATTTTATTTCTGGGACACAATTTTTTCCAGGGGTGTACTTAACTCCGCGACTGGGGTACCATTCAATTCGAAATCGGTGCTACATCCACGATGTCGAAACGCAGTGAGGGCGATTACGTCGAAACCCTGAACGTTCGTGTATGCACCGTAGTGGTGCATCGTGTACAGCTCGTCGAGATGAGTCGATTGCCACATCGCTGACCATCAACAGGCTAAAAAGGACTGCATCACGGACATTATGCGAGAGCCGGGGTACTATGGTACCCCGGGGTTCCGCCATAAGGTTAATTTGTTGACAGCGTCAAAAGTACAAATATTTAGTAAACACTTGAACAGTTGTACGTTTTAAAGTCAGTACCATTGGTTAATAGCATTATATACTCTACGTGTGTTTATATATATCGCTCATCAGCATAATTTCCTAATTTGAATGATTTGAAATATAATTGCATCAACTGCAGTAATATTGACATGCAGTATTTTTATTTGCATGAGCAATGTTTGACCTTTTTTTTTATTATGTAGAAAAGTTTTCCATACCCTATAAGATGTGTAGTGACTGGGAATGTCACTGTGGTGCCGGGCTTGCGAGGCCACGGCGGGATGTATATTGTTGTGTGTATACCCCAGACACGGTGTGTAGTACCAGCCCTAATGGGGGCTTGGGTGAGCGCTGGTTAAGCGCGGTGGCACCACGCACAGCTCCCGTTGAGAGAGCGAGGGAGTGTCAGCCAGCCCGGGTTATGTTGGGGGCATGATACTCTGGCTGACCTGGAGACATGTGACCGGATGATACTGGAGGGGGCCAATGGGTGGTCACATGGTCCGGGAAGAACTCTCGAGAGCCTTCGGGCAACGGCGAGAGAGATTGAGACGGTGGGCGGGGCGAGAGGCGGAGCCAGCCCCAGCCCGGTCCGATATGAGGGGGGCCCTGAGAGGGGCTCGGGGTTCTTACTGTTGGAGAGGCAGGAGATCCACATCAAGCTTGAAGAAGCCTCCAAGCCACGTGGTCCGGGACCCAGCTTGTGGTCTCGACCGGGACAGGAGAACCGTGTCTAGTTCCGCCGTAGCATGATTAGTTGGGTGGTCACCACCCGAGAGTATGTTGTGTCAATAGCTTGGAGTATGTTGTGCTAAGAGTTTAATAAAACGTGTTGCTCCCAAGACATCTGGAACTCAGTTGGACTCACTACAACTGGTGTCGGAAGTGGCCAACTTGCTAGGAAACAGCTAGCGGTAGACAGTCATGTCTACACGTCGCAGAGTTCGTACACGGGCGTTGGACGATGAAGACGATGAAGAGCTGATTCTGCCCACGGCCGTCGATGAAGGAGCGGAGGCGCTGCCAGCGGAGCAGAGCGCCGTCGGAGCGCGCGGCGCCTCGCCATCGTTGGAGGAGCTCGTCAGAGACGCGCACGGTCGCCTTGCGGAGCTTCTTCAGACGGCGTCCTTGATCCTCACCGAGCTGCGTCCTCTATCTGCTGCGACGAAGGAGGGAGCGGCAGAGTCGTCTAGACGGAGCGACTCGGTTGCCATTTCACAAAGGGCGGCAACGTCGACGGCGCAGCCCGCACTCGCGGCCGCCATTTTACTGCTGGCGCAGAGCACGGAGCCTGCCAAGCTCGAAGCGGAGCTGTCCTCGCCGATTGATATCCCATCGCTCCGCTGCCAACTGCCCTTGATTAAAGAATTTGTTGCTGCCAGCGACGATTGGGTAGCGTTTAAGAGGCGATTTCTCACCAATGCCGACTTGGCGGGATGGACGGAGGCGCTGAAAGCGCTGCCCGCCACCCTCGACGATGACGCCTTGGCGGTGTTCCTCGCCATCCCGCCATCTGACAGATCCACCCTCATGCAGGTGTTCGACCAGATGGCGGCTGTTTTTGAACCTCCACTGAACACCCGGCAAAAGTTCGCTATAAGACGTAAAGGAAAGGGTGAGTCGGCTCTCGCCTACCGTAGCACGCTTTTAGCGCTAGTGAAGGCCGCGTTCCCTAAAATGGACCACGACAGTTTTGACGCCTTGGTCCTCGAAGAAGATGCTGAGAGTCGCGAAACACCTCCACACTGTGCTTCCCGCCGAGGACGATGCGGTGTCTTTACTCCGGGTCACCAGGTGCATCCAGGCGCAGCAGACCCTGCATCGCAACAGGGTGTTGGTGGCGTACGCCACATCCTCCACAGAGCTGGAGGCCTGCGCGGAGACCGAGCCTGCTCCCGCATGCTCGCTGCACCAGCGGGGTGGCGTCCATTGGGGTGCTGACGATTGGCGGAGGGATGACTGGCGACGGGCGAGGTCTTCATCGCCCCAGTCCAGGAGTGGCCGGGTCGTCTGCTACAACTATGAACTGCTGGGGCATGTCCAGTCGGGCTATCGGGTTTCTCGACGATGGCCCCCGGGGAGTCCGCCTTCCTACAATTCCCTGCTTCATAAGGCGAGTCGTGGCGCACCCCACACTCAGCCCCGGGGTTCACTTCATCCATCGGGGGGGTCCGGTTTGGTTCAGGGTCGCGCGCGGGTTTAGGGGGAGTCGGGACGTGTTCGTGACACGTGCCCACTCCGACCGTGTTGGTTGTCTTGCGGGGCGGGCTTGCTCATGCACTGGGACGGGGGATTACGCCGGTACACTATTGTTGTCCCTACTACTCTGCGTGGCGAGGTTGTTTGGGCCGTACATAAACGTCTGTTACAACTGGGTGTGCAAAAAATGCTGGCCGCGCTCAAATTGGATTTTTATTGGCCGGCCATGGCCCCGGACGTTGAAAATTTGCTTAAAGGTTGCATATAATGTGCACGGTGGAAGTCACTGGCGAAATCTTGTTTCCCTCCGCTACAATCCATTCAGGTGTCGCGAATCAACGAGCTGGTTGTCCTCGATATTCTCGGTCCGTTTCCAACTTCCGCGCGAGGCAACACATACTTGCTCGTTGGCGTTGAGTATTTCTCACGCTGGCCTATGGCCTGGCCGCTCCCGAATCAATCGGCTGTAGCTGTGACCGAGGCGTTCCTTAATGGCTATGTCCTGGATAACAGTGTGCCCGATTGCCTTGTGACTGATCAAGGTAAAAAAAAATATTCGAAACTGCTGTGTGAGGTTTGCGATTTGCTGGGGACAAAGAAGGTGCGCATGTCACCATACCATCCACAGAGCGATGGCATGGTCAAACGCCTGAATAGAAAGCTGACCTCCATGTTGAGTCACCTGGTCAGCGAGTCACAGCTGGATTGGGACTTGCATGTCCCTGCAGTTCTCGCCGCCTACAGGATGGCCCCTCACACGTCCACCAGCTACTCTCCCTTTATTCTTTGGTTTTTTCGGTAAAGTCACGTATAAAAATAAAATAATAAATTAAATAATAGCATATGACGTTTCGATTGCTACACAAGCAATCATCATCAGGTATAATGAAATAGCGACATAGAATATAACCAGAAAACTATAGACAGACATATAAGCAGACAGATATCACCAAGATACATAGAGAGAGCAACCCAGGTACAGAGAGAGGTGATCGTCTCTGTGGGGTGGCCTTAAATAGACAGAGGGGGGCGGAGGCAGAGAGAGGGAGGGGGTAGGGAAAACATTTACATGTCAATGAGTACGAAGGGAGGGGAGTAAGGTAAGCAGGCTTAGAGGGAGACGTAACACACTAAATTAAATAACCTAGCAAAGTATCGAAATGTTCAGTAAAACGACACAGAGAGTCGGTCAACACACAATTAACGCATTGCCTGGTCGATTACGTATTTCAAAGATTGCTAAGTTAGAATTTAAGTGTGAAAATTCCAAAGAAAGACAAAACATAAAAAAAAAGAGGAACGGAGACACACAGACAGAGCAGAACCTAAGAACGATACAAAACGAGTGTAGACAGAGAAAATTACACTAAATATACAGGCAGAGAGTTTATAGTTTTCTGGTTATATTCTATGTCGCTATTTCATTATACCTGATGATGATTGCTTGTGTTGCAATCGAAACGTCGTATGCTATTATTTAATTTATTATTTTATTTTTATACGTGACTTTACCGAAAAAACCAAAGAATAATTCCTGCAGTCACGAAAGCTCCAAAATTAAGATCTACTCTCCCTTCTTTTTGATGTATAGACGGGAATATGATCCTCCCATCGACGTATAGTTGCAGGCCGCGCCGGCCGTGAAAGTGTAAAAAAAATTGGATTTCGTTCGGTTCACTCTTGAAAAGCTCTCTGAAGCGCGGGAAGCTTCCAGAGTCAACTCCCGAGCCAGACAGTTGGCTAACGAGCGGCTGAAGGGGGCTCGTGTTTCCCTGTGCGATTGGGTTGCAGCAATTTAGGGGGGCACATCCCCTAAATTGCTGCAACCCTTGAGGGGGCAGGTTGATGCGCCCTGAGAGGGGCTCGGGGTTCTTACTGTTGGAGAGGCAGGAGATCCACGTCAAGCTTGAAGAAGCCTCCAGCCACGTAGTCCGGGACCCAACTTGTGGTCTGAACCGGGATAGTGGAACCGTGTCTAGTTCCACCATAGCATGGTTAGTTGGGTGGTCACCACCCGAGAGAATGTTGTGCTAAGAGTTTAATAAAACGTGTTGCTCCCAAGACAACGTCTGCAACTCAGTTGGACTCACTACAGATGTGTTATGTGAAATGTGACACGCTGAGATTCATTACCACTCGAAATATCAATGTAACCATAATTAAGTAAAGACGTTCAGTCATATTTACACCAATTAGCACACAATGTCCAACATTATATATTTGCACTAATGTGACGCTGAATGCCTCCACATCTCCAAGCGTCTTAACATCAGATCAGCACATCATCAGAAAGGTTACTACCAAGGAGAAGGGGCCATTTGGGTGCATCTAGCTAGTTGGAGCAGGACAGAACTGCAAGGCAGCCAGACACCGGCGCCAACAATTGCCCAAGCTCTGCTCTGCCAACCAGCGGAGGGGGAATACTCACTGTGGCACCCTACCCTTTTTTTGCCAGTATCAAGATGTTGAATGATAAGGCCTTTCTGGCATAAATAGAGCTGTTAAGATCTTTAAACATCAAATACACACCTATATTACCAAGGCATCAAGTCTGCATTAACCACCCATACTTGTGGTATACATTTTCAAACAAATATGCTTTCAAATATGCTTCATAATGTATGCAACTGTTCTTGAAACTGATTGGCCTACATGAGAGACAACCTCTTTTATGGCTTTGTCTGAAAGGTGCTTGACCAAATAATGGCAAAAGCAAACAGTACAAGGACAGTGCAATGTATTCATATAACACGGGGGCCGCGATGAGTGGAACGTTTGACAAACTGGCTCGTCTGTCAGGCCAAAAGTAAATTTCCCAAGTAAAGGTCGACTCCCACCGTCAAGACACGATCGGCAGTAAAGCATTACAAATTTTAAAATACACATGCTTAAATAAATGGAACTACAATATTATCTTAAACACCATTATGTACAACATCCACACTAGAATGTTCGTGATCTCGACAGGGTCTGTTTAAGAGAGCACAGAGATGTTAGTGTGGGAGATTCCAAGAGAATACGATATCAGGTTGTTTTCTTACAGACATGCTAATCTCTCACAATACAATGGCCACCTCCACAGCTTAGGTGGTGCCCGGTTTTCCTACATTGACATGCTAATCTTACATTAACAGATTGACATGCTAATCTCTCAATACAATGGCCACCTACACAGCTTCGTAGTCGTGGAGGTATATCAGCTCTCTGATCTTACATTTACACGCAAATTCCATCTCTAGCCCCGCCCACTTACACATCCTGCTTCAGCAGCTCTCCCGCTATATTTTTTCCTGCCTCAGCAGCTCTCCTGCTATATTTTTCACCTGATGACGATTGCTTGTGTTGCGATCAAAACGTCGTGATATTTTTAATAAAATTATTTTTCTATCTATGTGGCTTTACCGAAAGATCCAAAGAATATTAATTCTTGCAGTCATGAAAGCTTTAAGTCAAGATTTTATATGTATGTGTTTTACCAGGTAAAGCTCACTGAGCAATGAGCTCTTTTTCAGAGGCGACCTGGCCACACACGACAGCTCATCATCACCTGTGGGAATTTATAGTTAAGCAGCCAAATAATGTAAACGCGTTTTCTACATACGGAGGACAAAACCAGAGGAACCGGAGAAAAACCCACGCGACCACAGGGAGAGAGAGAGAACACGCAAACTCCAAATATGCAACAGGCATTGCCAGGGTCCGGGATTAAACCACGGCCTTCTGCGTACCAGATGTTTATACTAAATAATAGTATAAAAATTGCAAATAGTCTTTCGATGACACTATGCATGACAGTTTTTGTATGTTATGAGTAAATAGGATGGTGTCTCTGTATGTGCATGTGTGTACTTGAGTGGAGAAGTTCTGCTCCAAATGTCCCCTGTACAAAAATGTTAAGAGGTTTAACAGTATCGATAAGTGTTTTTTGGTTTAGATCGTGTAAATATAAATGTGTTGTTAAACCCGCCGCCACCGGACACAGCAAATTAGTAAGGTTTGTCACGTAAACAAAACGTGCCAATTCGTTACTAGTGTAATGTAGCTCTCAGAGACACCGTCTTGTTCAGTTATATGTATATTTATTGTGATTAAAGTCCACCGACTCACTGATAATTGTTGGCTGACTACACAGGAGCGGATGCATAATAGTCACGGAGACAATATAACTATTGCCTTCCAAGACTACAAGGTGCCCAATCCAGGATGATGAAGACAACCCGCTCCAAGATGACGATGGCGACCACAACAGCAGCCCAGAGCCCTGTTCCACGCCGGCTTTTATCCCCTTCACGACCTGGCCACACTCCTTTTCCCGAAAATGTTCTCATCGCATCTGGCCCTGTCTGTCTCAATTATTATTAACGACCACTTAGGTCCCATATTACCCTTACATGACCCTGTCTGTTCCCCTTTGCGTCAATTTGTAACCACGGCCACCGGGAGCCGTACTGTCCTTACACTAGTACAGCACACCGGTGTGTTGGAGAGTAAACCCACAACATTTACTATTTGAGTACGACATGTGGCCAGTAGTTACAACCAGCATCATCAGGCGACAGCCAAAGTTGTGGAGAAATCCTCCTGTTTCGATCTTAAATAGAGGGATAAATGTGATGTCGTTACTTGTGAGATAATCAGGAGCGAAGGCTTAAAGGTTTAACAGTAAACGTAGTACACTACTTACAGACCCTTAAATGAAAACATTAATCCACCACTGCAAAGTTTCACCGTTTGCCAATACACATTTTTTTTACAGTCTTTGTATTTTGCAACTGAATTATACGGTTATGCACCTATTATAGGGATGCATTCTATCAGTCAAAAATTTTACCTGTAGGGTTGTACGTAAAAAAATATAATACTCCTGTAGATCAACATAATCACCATCATTGCACGTTTTACAAGCAGCAACATGAAGTCTAAGATTAATGATAAGCACTTTACAAAAATTGGCACAATTGTTTTCTTAGCCTTAGACTATGAATTGTCTTCTCCAATAGGGGCATCCATATCCCAGGCTATCCGTGCAGAAGCTGGCCCACTTACATCGAGTGACCTGGTTTAACACATTTTGCTTTACTGTGCAAATATAAAAAAAACTTTCCTTTTCCACACAAAGATCTAGGTCAGCGATAGAACATGGTAACATGGGACTCCTTCATTTCTTAGAGCTTCATCATTCAGTCCAATCCCACAGTTCCTTTTGACGCCCACAGACAATTTGTCTTTGCATTTGAATACCAAACTGCATTGGCTTATGGGCATCTGAGTTTTACAAATAAAACTTCTAAAAGCAATGTTGGGTTCGTGAGCAATATTCTCAACGCTTGATTACATTTACGCGAGTTTAAAGATGTTGACGGATGTCGCTTACGTTTCCATTTGCTACAAGACCATTCCCACATAGAACGCCATCCCACCCACTCAAGTTTTAAAAGCCACTGTTTTAATTCGTAAACATTCGGCAATGGAACCAAATCCAAAGCTTTTTCTCATGAATTTCGCTTTCAGAATATTTCAAAATCAGAATATGTATTTATGCTAGAGCAATCTGATGAGCTATCAAAGCTGTTTTTCACAGATATCCAGGAGTCAACATGAGCACGAACTGAAAGGAGGGAGGCTGCTCCGTGAAGCCGTGTTTATGTCTTGTCCATAGGCCCCGGCCATCTGATTTACTTTGCACATCAATTTTTTGCCCCAAAGGCCCCTTAATGTTTTGTTTGTCCTCCCGTTCCAACTGCTGAGAATTGGGACCATCAGGAACAATGCCTAAGGGTCCTCTGACCATTAGGCCAGAGTACAACCCCCCCACCCCACCCCCGCTCAGACGTAATGGGCCCCACCACCCACAGAACTCCACTGGGAGACCCCAGGGCCCTGGCTCCACTGTAGTGTAAATGGGTCCTGCTCAATCATGCATGCAGAGGAATCGGCACTGCCGCACGTGTGCCATGTTAGCTGCAATCAGTCGTGCCTTGTTGATGTGCAAGGCAAACACGACGCACAACTACATATTGTAGAACAAGACTCAAGGATGTTTATATAGTAATGTCCACTTGCCCAAAGATAATATACTATGAGCTCATCACAGGCCCCCATACACAATCCGTAAAACTGCATTTAATACTTTAATCTACTGGCCAGACGTCTTACATTTGTAATCCTAATCTCCACTGCCACTAAATCCAAAAGTACTTTTATGCCAGCCTTATTTTCATTATTAAATAATTGCATATACTTTATATAGTCTCCTGTAGTGTTGGCACAGAATGAACAAACCCTCCAAATGATGTACAGTTCACAAGTCAGCAGCACTACAACTGTCAGTAAGACTCAAAATCTTCAAGCCTTCAAGCTAAGAGAAGACAAACACTCGCAAATCTCTGAGCCATCGAGTAAGTCCTTTGTTATTGCGGACCCTTATGAGTCCAGTCCATCACGGACGTGGCTGCCTGCATTGCTGAGGAACCATCGGCTCTGCCAAATGCTATTTCATGTTGCCTCGTTTTCCCCACGCAACGGATGACATTTGCAGGAGACGAATTGTGGCATCGCAGGGATGATCGCAACACTATCAGCTTGGAGAAGGCCTCCATCCACCTATGGACAGGAAATGTATGCTGCTGCTTCTGATTGATAATGTTGATGATGTTTTCCCACTGTGATCTCTCACCTCATCTTCTGCTGGAGGTTGATGGTGCCCCGGCGGGTCTGCTTGAGTTTCTCGTACTCCTTGTAGCTGCGGTAGTACTGTTGTATGAGCACGGCCGCCCGGCGGCTCTGCTGGAAGCGCTTCTGCTCGTAGTAGGAGCGGAACTTGCTCTGGATGAGGATGGCCGCCTGTGTCATCTTCTTGTAAAGTGCGTACTGCGGGGGAGGACACACGCGGGAATGGCGTTTTGTTAGACGAGACTCGCTCTGGTAACCGGTGGCACGTTTGAAAACGTTCAGGGTGCCACATGCTAAATTAATGGAGGAAAGGAAGGACTGCGAGACAATGGGAGAGGCCTTTGACTGGCCGTGCGAAATTAGGGGCTGACAGAAACAAATCCTAAATTAGGGTTTTTATATTATTCCTGCATGAGATTCATAATTGCGCAAGCCCAGAGTCAATGAGACACACCACATGCAGCCAATACTCTGATTTCAGTGAGTTATTGAACTGTATTGTTGCGTTTGATTGTGGCACTTGATGCAGACCAGATGAGTGAATCCCTATTGGCAAATGTGTTAACCGGATTGCAGACAAAATGAATGTCCCATTAGGAAAATATATGTATTGATAGGTTTACTCAAATTGTGAGGCGTTAGTAGAAGATTGTGTAGATTTTCTATTGATTTTCTTGTTTAAGTCACAGTGCTTTGAAATACTTTTTTAAAAAGGTGCTTTATGACATGAAGATTATTGTTGCATATTTGGTGAATAAAATATGACTGCGGCGTGATGTACACAACATGGGGTAGGAGTCGCAAAACGTATAAAGATATCAGTTGGTTAGGGTATGCATCGTAAGCACATCAGGATGAGTACACCTAAGGCATTATTGAAGGCGGAAAATGACCAAAGGATGAGATAAAAGGATGGAGTGCTTTTGGAAAACTGAACTTGAAAATGAAAAAATTACATCAATGTGCCTAAGGTAGAACGTGTGTATTTAGTGGACACTACCTGCCATAACATTTGGATAGGAAACATGGAAATTGACAACAAAAGATCTGAAAAGTGCATACAGAACAATGGTGAAGTTCATGCTGGAAATTCCACAATGACACATTGAACAGGGAGCTATAAACGTCTATATCCTAAGCCACTTGGTTGAGCTATCAATTTTTGGCCAGGTTACTTCTGAAAAAGAGCTATATAGCTCGGTAAGCCTTACTTGGTAATATAAAAAGTTTAGTTTTCTACAATTGTTTAGTTTTAGTTTAGGGAACAAACGTAAGTTAGAGACACCATATTTATTGACCGTTAAGAAAAGTAAGTGGGTTTGGGCAAGACAAACAATCGCTAATGGTCAGGACAAATGATGGAGTGGCAGCCAAGGAGATGGAACGTGCCTGAGAAAATATCCAGATGGAGTTATTGGATCAGCTCGTGTGTGGAAAGCTAGATGGAATGTTGCTTCGCGCGTTCACTGTCGATGGTGACGGCTTATGGAGGCCTTCTTTCAGCAGTGGATACATCAGCGCTGATGATGATGCTAATGATAACCTTTGCAGTTCTTTGACAAATTAGAACCATATGCATTTTGTTTCCAATGAGCTAAGTGCTACCTCCGAGACAGTGAAAAATGTCAGCAAAAAAAAATAATTATGATTAACGTGCAAATGAACGTATAAAGTATATTTAAAGTTAATTTGAAGCTTTCGTGACTGCAGGAATTACTCTTTGGTTCTTTCGGTAAAGTCACGTATAAAGATAAAATAATGAATTAAATAATTACTTTATTTCTTATTTTATAATAACCAAAGAGTATATTTAAAGTATATTATTTGTGCTCAAGATATGTTATGCTGACCAATAAAATTAATCCATGCTGAACACTATCTCCGGAGTTGCCTTCACAAAAAAGCATCTCATGAACAGCTTTGGAATGTACCGAGAATCTGAAACTCATCATTCTGCAGGATAGTACTATTCGTCTCCACATTTTTATGCATTCCTGAGTTGAATAATTTGGAAAAAGCAGGTTAAATTTATGTCAACTCACGACCGCATAGAATTTTCGAAGGACAAGCTGCACCTCCACCTTGAGAAACATGTTCCCATAATTTTGCTAAAGCGCACGGCTGTTCCAATTGTCAGCTGATACTTTTAAGTGAGTTCAATACTGTCCATTGTGAGTGGTTGGTGTAAAATAAAGGTACGTATAATTACGAACATAAATAGGATGAAGCTAATTTGATAATAAAACAGAGACCTATAGCTTACAGCCTGATGTGTATTGAAAATATACAGTTCAACTGCCCTTAAATATCACAATGTTTATACGTTTTAGTTAAAATACATTTTATGTATTATTGACTTGATTTTCATACATTCTTGATCTTTACACTATCATTCGGGTTAGGGAACTAGAACCACTTTGCATTTATGAATCCATTCTAGATACTCCCGTCTGAAACCAGAATGCAGTACAATATGAAGATTTAACATTACAGCATTTGACAATGATATGACAAAAACGTGCGCGTTACCTTCAGCGCTATCCATGTCAGCTTTGTTACAACACAAAATGTCGACATTAATTCACATTTCCACACTCATAACACATTCTACCAACACACATTCAAGTCAAAGTCCTGCTCAAGCGAGCATTTAGGCAGTGCTCATCTCTTGGTTTACAGCCCTGTTCCAAGCGGCAGAAATTACACATTTCTTTGGAAGGGGTGAGTTTCCCCATAGGACATCCACTTTTCACCTCCCCATGAAGTGGTATTTTATCGACCCCAGAGGTATAATGGGCTGAGTCAAAGCCCAACCAGGAATTGAATTTGCAACCTTCCGATTGCGAGCAGCTCGCTCTACCGGCTGGACACCAATGCATCACCGGTAAATTATTACAAAGGTTTATGAACAGCTGTATTGAAACACATAATTTGACAAAACTGTAAATATTATATAAACCGTCACACGAACTCGGGTCATCCTAGCAGCGGCGTTTGGCTAGCCATCGAACAAAAACGGTCACTGATTTTTGTGCTTTTAGATGTGCTTCCGCGGCTGTCTGGAACGCAAGGCACTTTTAAATTTAGAACTGCTTTTTGTGTTTCATTTGTTGTCCTTTTCCCGCACCTCTGATTAGCATGGTTGGCAATGTACGGTGCAAAATAAGTTCAACATGCATATCTATGTAATAATTCACAAGGCATCCTCAAACTGTCAGTCATGGGGATTGTTTGATATCATTTCACCGCACTGGCCAGTGTGGGTTGGTGAAGGGAGTACACAGGTCTCATTGAAGATATCGCTCACCCCTGATGTCAGCTGCAACATGGAATTGAACTTAGGTTGTCAGGTGCAGAGCACAGAGCATAAACCACTGTCCCGAATTGTGACATTTATTTGCTACCGGTGGGACATTCATTTGAGTTTAAAAAGTTGATTTATATGAAGTCAGTTGCATGCAAATTTTTGTCATGTATTCCTATGTTCAGAAAAAAAAGTATGAGAGTTGATTTCCAATGAGATACCTTCATGTCCGACATATTTCTGAATTTCACATTCCATGTGTCAACTTCTTGTTTTTTCAATGTAAACAAATGTATATAATAGATAGAGTATATCATGTATTATATTGACCACATACAAACAACCGGCACCTTTCGCCACAAAGTGACAGTAACGTCACCATGACGCTTGTGCCAGGCTAGATGCATGTTGAGGCCACTTGAAGTGTGACGTCACCATGACGTTAGCAGGAGGTCACGGGACAGACCCAGGTGTTATGAGTTGACTGGCAAATGCAGTACCTGTGCTCCTCCTTGCTGCATTTTAGCTGCTCGGTGCTCTGTAAATTTTTAGAATAAAATAACCTCTGCAACATTGCTGGAGGTCGACTGCCTCAAACTGCCCAATTACGTCCTTTAAAAACCTCCACAGAGGCAGATCAAGACACCACTGGCACCAGTCATCGGCGAGTCCAATCAGCTCCACATCCTCCCGTACCACACCAGCCCATTACTTTTCTAACCGGTGACGTGGCGATTTATCCGGTTCTATCTGGCCAAACAGAAGCTGCTTTGGCATGCAGTGGCTAAGCATGCGGGTTACGTGACCCAGCCAACGCAATTCTTTAAAGGGGTCCATGTTGTGCAAGAATAGAGAAGAGAGGGAATGGCTGTGGCTGATAAGACTCAGAGCTGCATATAGAGTGATAGTCCCATAAAGCGTTTAACAGACTGTTGGGGGAAATGCCATTAGTGAGCACCTATGAAGGTGGGCATGGCACATGAGGGGGTAAGTGGTCATCATCACACCCAGCCGCCTTTGTCTCCCCAGTGGTAATGTTTACATTCCACATTGGGTACTCATTTGAGGCTGAGTCGTCCTAGGAGAGGCCCAGGACCAGTTCAGATAATCGTCACTGGTGTTTGCTATGAGCGGGATTCGAACTCAGGTTGCCGGGTTAGTAGTGCAGCCTGCTAACTACTCCCCAATTATATACAAAGAGAAAAATCCCATGTATCGCCTTTACAGGCTGTTGGGGCACAAACATGTATTAACTTAAGATGTGATAAGTAAGCTTTCAAAACTTAATTTCATGTTAAGTAATTGCTAACAAATGTGTCTAAAGCGGTCGCAGATGATACACCCATACAAGTTATAATTACTGGAGAAACCAGGAAAGTACTTAAAACACAATTTGCACTGAAATGGTATTTTTATTAACAGATGTTTCAAATGCTACGTGAGTTAAATATACATATGTATGCTATGACCTATCATGTGTTTGGAGTGGAGAGCAGTGACACAGTGGTTAGTGCACTGCACTCCGAATCCAGTGACCTGGGTATGAATCTTGACCATGGCAAACATCGGTAGTCAGTGATGTCTAAATTCGTCCTCAGCTCCCGACTTTAAAACATGTACTGAAAAAAGTGGTGACCTATGGTCAAACAACCTCCGACAACACCATAAGGAAGCCTTCATTCAGCAGTCGATGAACAAAAGTGTTGTAAACTATTATCAAATATTGTGCCGTCTGTGTACATACAAGACTTGACCTAAAAAAAGTACACAATCAATAACGTTTACACACTTTTTTTAACACGATTTGTTTTTCCTCGTTTGGAGAGTAACCATTTATAAATGTTTCAGTTGGCGTTTGTCTTTTCGTTTATTCTGAGTGGCTAGATCGCCGAGGCAGCGACGATTTATAAAAAAAAAAGTCCGGCGTTCCATATGCCCATTTGTCCGTCCACTTAATTATTAAAAAAAGACTTTCAGAAGGCATGAATAATACAAAAAAAAGGTGCGGTGGTAAAAAGTTGGTCCAATAGGTTTTCCAAAATTGTCGACTCCCCCAAAAAGGGATTCACCCCCCCCCCCGCCAAAAAATAAATGTATTGTGCAGGTATATATACTTACAATAGTCAGTAATATCTATATATATACGTACACACCCTACATACAATAGTTAGTAGTATCTACATATATACTTACACACCATACATACAATAGTTAGTAGTATCTACATATATGCCTACACACATCAGTGGGGGCGATTGGCAAGGCACAAAGCGCTGAGAAGCCCTCCGTAGGAGATAGAATAAGACAGTCGTTGGCCGCCGAAATTTTAGTTTATCACAATTTGAATTAATAATAATAAAAACCTACCACCATTATTAATAATGCATTTTAACAGAAAGGTACATAGGGGGCAAATATATTGGAAAATGGCCATTCTTCAGTGTTCTGCTATTGCACAACACTGCCACAGCAGTCTATTATATTTAAGTTAAGCAATATGTCATCTAACAGTGTGTAGGAAAACTTCAACATTTCATATATTTCCATTATAGGGCACAGTATCAGTGCTCAACGTAATCAGTTACTTTTAACGTGTTACTTTCACACCACTGCCACTGCAGTCCTTTTATGATGTGTTGTTAAATTAAAGCTTTAAGAACGATATATCTTGATGGTATTTCAACGTTTACGGTGAAAAAAAAGAGCAGTATACACACGGAATGTAAAAGTCAAAGATACTACGTCGTACATAAAAGCAACTGAAACTATGCAGAAGCATACCAGTTTTTCAAGATAACGAATGCTCTTTCTACAGACATTATCTCGTGAATTTTTTAAAAAAAGTTTTTTTAGATTTACTTCTGGAAATTTATCTCGCAAGGTAAAACTTGATATCAACGCGTGGAAATAAGTTGCTATCATCTCGCTTCGTAGATCAGGCAACTTAAACAAAACCTCTAATCTCTCACAAGCTTTTAAATGTCATCTTTGGATTAAATCAGCTTTGCAGAGCTGGCATCGACCAGATCCTGGTTGTTATTATTATACATGGACGTGTGCCATGTCTGTGTTTGCCAAATAATTGCCCTTGTATGGGCAGGGGTTCCATTTAAGTTGTACGGATTGGCCCTCTTGTTACAGCCCTAAATATAACTCAAAATCCGAACGCATGTAAATATTACATGTGGTCGTATGTCTGCTGTCGTGTCAGCATTGATGTGTATGTGAAATGCATATTCCACAGAATTAGTGCACAGTCACAACAAATAAATGATAGCGGTTAGTAAATAATCATCAGTTTGTAACTTATGGGCAAAAACGTACGTTAAATTTGAATTGCTCGAAGGGTTAGCGACGGTTATGCTCTTAAATGCAATAAATGTATGAGCTGATCGACTGTTTGATGTTTAAAATAAAATGACAAGAACAAGTGCAGGCTCGTTGGACCTGGCAATACAATGGGCTCTGTCACGTATTGGATGAACATGCCGTGTCAGTAAATTCGCTTACCATAAAACACAAGCAGATGCTTATCCGTCTGTTGATGCTAGTTGTAATTATTGGCGAAACGTCGTACTCAGATGGTAAATGTTGTGGATTTGCTGTCCAACACACCGGTGTGCTGTACTTGTAACGAATTGGCACGTTCTGTTCACGTGACAAACCTTACTCATTGGTTGTGTCGGGTGGTGGCGGGTTTAACGACACATTTATATCTACACAATCTCACCCAAAAAACTCTATTATTGAAGATGCTTATGCTACAACGTTTCGTTTTTTGTAGGTTCTGTCTCCCGTGCTGTAATTCTGTCACAGTAAAACTAACCATATGAACACAGATGCTTGTCAGTCATATTTTGCATATGCCAATGTCGCGAGTGAAAATACCACGAAAAATGTATCCTATGCATACAATCGATGTTAACATACAGTGACATTTGCATACATTGTGAGTCGTATTCAAGAAGGTGATGCATTTTTGTGAAGTGAGATTTCATAGCAATGTATAATTCTACATGTGTTATGTGTCAAATAAAAAAGGCATTTTAATTTAATTTCTAGCTGTACATGCCTATTATCTTTGTATAAAATATCTTGAGAAAGCCGTATGTAGAGAGGCAATGCCATTTAATATTGTTAATTATAATATTTAAAAGCATATATACATTTTCTATACAGCGCCTGCATTTTGTTATCGAGCTAATTAACATTTTCTCTCACGTAATTCAGTGGTGCTTATTTCTAAGATAGATTGGCCAATTCCATACCAACAACCTCAGTGCAAAATTCTCTTAGTTTTTTATTTTTAAATCAGTGCCATTTAAGGGATATTTTCACTCAAAGACAGGAACAGTGCAATATGTAATGTACACGCACACACGGGTCAACATTTTAAAGACTGCAAAGTGTGTGAAAGCACACAATGGAATGTTGCGGTAAAAGAAAAGGCACATTTGGACAATGCTAAAATATCCAAACAATACTCTTATATAAGCGCACAACTTTATCTATCTGTGCTGAATGCTGCACTTTCCGTCGTTTTCATACAGGGGGCGCTGCAAACCTACGCGCCCCCTGCATGAACGACGGAGGCGCAGGGACAGACGTTCGATTACGTTGGAATCGATCTGCAGACGGCGGTCTTCTCGCACAGCCAGCTCTATGTCGCCTTATCTCGATCGAACCGAACCCCCAGCAAGGCCATCTACTTAACGACGAGAGAAAATTCACACAAAATTTAGTTTTCAATGAAGTCTTCCAGATGTAAAATGATATAAGCTTTTAATGAAGAAATTAAATTATCTAATTCAAAACATAATACAATTAAAAGATGTTTCATTTTAAAACTTCAAAACGGAGCATCGGGTGCTTGCGTGAATGTGTCGTTCGTGTGCAATTTTTTCCGTGACTTTCCTGGTCGAAGGCCATAAATGGTTGTGCTGAACAACCCAAAGTTTTTTGTATATTTACACTTAAACTTTAACCGACACCTCCCACGCTCTAGCCGATGGGAATGACAGCTGCAATTCTGTTCAATGGACAGACAAGCTCTCAATGTGTGCATTATACCCACAAAGATGTTGTCGCACAGTGGCCGAACGGAATGGGTTTTACCTGTTTATACTTCCTGTAGCATCGCTGGATAACAGCTGCAGCCATGTCCTGTTGCTCCTTTAGACGCCGTCCCTGCAAAAGGGACCAACGTCATTCTTCATCCTTCACTGATTGACGTGGTATTTTGATGTGAAAAGTGTCAAAGGATGTTTAATTCAAACCCTTATTGTAGCCAGCGAGAGGATCTTTACACAACGTTGCTTGCTATTCGAAAGATAATATACATTGCGAAACTTGAATTTGCATACAAAGATACAGAGAAAGGGAAGTAAAAAAAAGCTGTTGCCAGATGCTCTTTATATTTTCCTTGAAGTTGATATCTTTTGCCTTCATGTACAGACTGGTTATATAAGAGGTAACACACAGACAAGGAGCCAGCAAAAGTGCTTCCATTTAACTTAGGCCAATCTGTAATTTGAAATACAAATGAGGACTTGAAATACGCTGCGGTGGAAAACCAGGGAAGACCATTACACTCCAACAAGAAAATAAGCAGCGTATTTAAAAAGGTATTTTACATTTAATATAGATGTGGCTTCAAGTAAGTTACGTCTCTAAAGCAATGATTTAAACGTACGTTTTGTTACACAACATTGCTGTGCAACTCATTATTCTCGAGGTCTCTCAAAAAACACCTGGCCTCAGAACTCCCACAGATTGCGCTAAGACCTGAAATCTCACACTGAATTGGTCAATGTAAAAAAAAAATCCATGTCCAGGAGATTAGGCCACCCCTGGGGGGATGGACAGGAGTTAATCACTGCTCTGCGGGACTTTATCTGGCAATAAGTTCACTTCGTGTGTCGAAGATAAACTTCCTTTGCAATTTTGTTCCCCTTCTACCCCCTTTAGTTTTGTTCTTCTCTCCTCATCCTTTCCTCCCCATATAAAATAAATAATCTGTGCTCTCGCTCGTGGTCCCCAACTTGGGTGGGGCAGTGAGCCCCAATTTTCACCTTCCCCTAAACCCAGGAGTAATGACCCTGGGACTTTTGTCCGTGCAGTTTCTGTGACTTCTTCCTATGTTGAATTATTTTTTTTAAATACAGAGATAAAAAAGAAAATACATTTGGTGACTCTTTGCTATACGATGCAATGATTGAAAGAGACCACAGCGGCAATATATTAACTACCTCGCCTGGTATACAGGAGGTTTGATCCCAACCCCGACGCCCGTATATTTGGAGTTTGCATGTGCTCCCTGTGGTCACGTGGATTTTTCTCCGGGTCCTCTGGTTTTTCCTCCACATTTCGAATCAACATCACGCGTTTAGATTATTTGGCTGCTATAAATGTCCACGTGAAAAGCCACTTCGTGGAGCTATCAATTGTGGCTAGGTAGCCTCTGAAAAAGAGCATTAGAGTGCAGTAGGCCATACCTGGTAAAATAAAAAAAAAAATTTGTTCAGTTTCTATACAAACTCTTGCCGCTCAATTGCATGTGAAATTATTAACCGCTTAAGTGGACATCTGATAAACCATTAGATTGGACTTCAAGCTAAGTTGTACTTTCCACGTAGCAAGTGTCAAATTGCCAATATGAGTCACTGTGAAGCAGCGGATTAAGAATGGCTCAAGGCAACAAAAGAAATCTGCGCTCAATCAACCCGTGTCTCACGGTGATTCAAGGTCACATTCCGAGCATATTCACGGTTGTTTTTCATAAACGACAATGACGTTAAATCTGGAATTGAAACTAAGTTACACAACACTGTGTTTTTTGTTGTTTAATAAGTAATGTTTTAATTGTCTTAACATTTTCCTGTGAAACAAGCATCCTTAATCGTGTTGCAACATTTTTTTCAAATAGTGTTGCTTGCATGGTTTTATTTACACGTTCAAATGTGCTTCTCCACGTATGTAAACGCCAAGGTCTCCCTCGACACGACTCCTGGTCTCAATGAGGTCTTTAGAGTAAAAAAAGAATACCCGTAAAAACAAAGTTTTTCACTATAAATCCTTTATATGCTGGCTTGAGATGGCTGCCACTTATGGGTCAGATGAATGCCTGCCACCATTAAGCAATTGGTAATTAAATATAATTAATTTTTTCCTAAAAAGTGTAAAATTTTGGAAAAAAAAATGTCACGAAAATACATTGTCACGCACGAGTCTGTGTGCAAAATTTCAGCTCGATTGGATCACGGGAAGTGGGTTAAAAAACGACCGAAAGATTTGCACGGTCGTAAGCGCGCAAGCAAGCAAGCAAGTGAACTTAATATAAAGGATTTAATTAAGGCCGCAACGGTTAGCACAGTACGCTCCAAACCCAATGATATGAGTTTTTTTTCTGGTTATGGATAACATCGGCATGTATTTTTATTGTTAAGAATTCCTACTTATTGAAAAAAAAAGATTACCCTATCTATAACCACAGTTGAAAAGAGGTACGAACTAGAAAGCAGCTTATAAGGTAAGTGGAGGTAACATAAAAACAACTGGAATTGGTGTTTTATGGAAAGCTTTCACAAGTAAATGTGTTAAGATAGTTCAAATGTTTTAGTGGAAGCCCACCGAGATAAATGGTCTATATTTTAATGAGATAATAAACATACTTTTACGTGAGCTGTACTGCTACGTTTCTTGCATGTAATAAACACAAAAGTATGAAAGAGGCTATTTCAACGTGAACGTAATTGATAACGTAACCACGCGACACTACCTCTTCGCCCATCGACTTTGCATTTGTTTTTTACAACAAGAGAGACAATGGCAGCCAAGTGGCCTTAAAGTTGCATTTCAATTGGGTCGTAAAACAGCAAAATTACAGAACGTCACACTGACTCCTCTCACGCACGCATGTGGGCACGCGCGCACTGATATACTTATGCAAATTAGCGTGATGTGCACATGCTGTCACGTACGCACACACGCACGCATCTAGATAAAGAAAGATACCCCTACCCCCATATAACCTTGAACTGACGGTTATGGCAAGTGCTGTTCGCGAGCACCCAGTGGCGTCACGAGAGGGGTGCGGACCGCACTGGGTGACACCATCAGAGGGGGTGACACCAAAATGATTGCCTATACAATTTTTGTGCAGTGTTTCAGCAGAAATGTATTCTTTTTATGAAAATATCCTTGTAGTTAGTTATAACAACAACAACAATTTTTCGTAAGTCCAGCTTACATGTACACTATCAATATACCTACAAGGCTAAAACTCTGTGCTAATTTACTTTTTGAACCTTCTAATGCGCTCCGGTCAGAGCTGTCATTGTTACCCAACTACAGTGACGCTTCGAGTCACGTGGTTTCGAATGCACGCGCTACCAGCACGCGCTATTGTGTTCGTCACTGCTCGTGTTTTTATAGTCGCTGATTTTGTCAAATTTTCTGGTGTTTTAGCTACAATAGTGGTAATTCGTATTTGTGAACCTATATCAATAACTTTTTTGAGAAGAAAGTAGCAATTAAAGGAAATATTTTTGAGAATAAAGTTATAATTAAAGGAAATATTATAATTTAAAGGTGTAATTTTAATTTTGCTAGTTGTTCATGTCACTACTATTGCCATTACATTCAGTGATATACGGTAATTACGAATTACGAGTAACATGAGTACAAAACACATTACTAAGGATGCTGTATGGTCTGGTACGGGCAGAGAGGTCAATGAGGGGTGACACCATGAGTTACCGCACTGGGTGAAACCAACCCTCATGACGCCACTGCGAACATCTATGAAGGTCGCCACGGTACACGAGGGAGACGGTGACCAGCACCACGTCCCGGCCGCCTTTGTCTCTCCAGTGGCAGTGTTTTACATACTGTACCGAGTACTCAATTGAAGCCGAGTCGACCGAGAGGAGGTCCAGGACCGGTTCGGATTATCGTGACTTGTGTTGCCCTTTGAGCGGGAATTGAACTCGTGTTGCCGGATTGGTAGCGCAGTGCGTTAACCACGACACTAGCGCTCCCGATATTGAGACACATGCACGCCCACTGTTGGTCCTAAGCCAGATTTGAACTCTACATGTAGCTATTTTGGACGATTTTTGACCCCCCCCCCCTTCGTCACACGACGTCACAAAAAGTCAGACCCCCCCCCCTCAAATATGATGTCACAAAGCTGTGCCCACCCCCCCCCCCCCAAAATAAAACATGCTTCAAATCGCTTTAAAATATTGTCATTGTAGTGCGTATTTAATGTGGCGCTCTCTGATGTTGTAGGAGAAAACATTTATTAAAAAGTCTATTTAATTAAGTAGACCGTGTTTTCTATATTTATTTAAAGTTGCGCATTTTGATGTGACGTCACATTTCTCAAACACCCCCCCCCCCTTCATCACACATCGTCACAAATGTCTGACCCCCCCCCCCCCCAGGTGCGTGACGTCATTTATGGACGGCCCCATAGTACAGCAGCTGTATAGTACAATATAATATGGTGCAACCACTAACATTTACAACCACCGTGTACAACCTTCCAACTCTGATTGAGGTGCCCCACAAAAGTATCACCCAAACAGGTAAGGGCACAAAAAAAGTTTAAGTATTGGGACTTACTTATAATTACACGGGTATAAAAGACAACACAATTAATACGAATATATATATGTGAATATAATCATGGTTATTTAGGTAGTTATGGTATTAGTCGATGTAAAATACAACTTAAGTGTCCTCATTAGCAGGCCCAATGTAGCGGTGGGAATTCTACATTTTCATGGTTAGGCGTCAGCCTCAAAATAGGATGACCACTGTTGTCTTACCAGGATGTGATACACACTTTGCCAACTCCCAAAGGATAAAGCCAATAACCAATTCAACAGAAGCTAGGAAGGTTTGAACCTGGATATGATAGGCAATCACCGCTATAGACTACTGCAGGGATAATTGTTGGGCAGCAGAGAGCAGTGCTGCAAAATCCATTGCTGTTCTGTACTTCTATGCTCCCACTTCGATGCTCGCCCCCTTCAATAACCTGCACTGCAGTGAGGTAACTAGTAATAATAACCCCCCACCACTGACATGGTGCGGGAAGGCTGCTATCCAGCAGTGGATTTACAAAGCGTTGTAAAATAGTATTTTTGTTATATATATAGTTTTATACACACTTATTACAATTGTGTCCATTATGAGTGTCAAAACACATTTAAAAAATCCCTTGCGATAGCCATACCAGTCGCGCGTCGGTACGACGCACTTTTCATTTGCGTGCGGAAAACGTTCACGTCCGTAAACATTTCGTCGTAAACAAAAGAGAGAGAGGCACAAGATATAAATGATCTGGGTTGACCTCCGGTCAGAATCAGAACCGCGTCTGGCTCTTGCGCTCTCTAACCATGGCAACAATGGCAATAGCGTCAGTGGTAGCACAGCGGCGGCAGCAGCTGTGTCCACGGAGGGCAACGGCAAAATCCGCTCAAACACCTTGTACTTGCGGAAGGCCGTCTGGATGATCTTGGCCGCCTCGTAGAGCTCCCGCTGCTCGTGGTCAGAGAGCGTCAGCTGAGAGAACTCGTTCTCCATCTTGCCGTTGGTGGAGGCATTGAGGAAGGCCGACCAGTCGGCCGCGGTGGGGGTCTCCACGCGCTCGAAGGCGATCTCGTTGAGCGGGGAGCTCACGGGGCTCTGGCTGGTGTTGGAGGCGGGCGTCAGCGGTTCATTGTACAGGGATCTGCACAAAAATGACAATGTGCTCGTGTTTTACACTTGGGGAGAAATACAATGAAATCGGAAATTAAATTTCTCAACTGTAAGTAAGCGATTCTGAACATTTGTTATCGCACACCCTTTTGATCAGAGCACAGGAAAGCTCTTTGCAATAACGCCATTGTAAGTCTGTTGCAAAACTGGTTCAGAACTCAAGCATGGATCCCGGACATCTGCCGCTGGGTAACCGGGTCCAGGTCTTGGGGCCGGAGACACTGGTGAAACTGTGCTGACCGTATTGCTGCACAAGGTTTGTGCTCCGCTGGTATAGCAGCAGATCACCATGGGCAGGGTATCATAGATGGCATCGTTTGGGGTGCATTGAGGCTGGTACTGCACACTGCTTAGGCAAGAAAAATTAGCATTACGGTGGCGCTCACCTCTCGTTTACAACCCATGAACCAGGTAGTAGAAATTATAAATTCCACAGCAGGGTGCAAGTATCTCCAGAGGACAACCACTGTTGACTTCACCACAAAGTGGTAAGACTTTTATGAACTCCGGGGGGATGATGGGTTGAGTCAATGCACCAACCCGGATTTGAACTCGCAACCTTTCCGATTGCGAGGTGCTGAGCCACCTGGCTAGTTCCTGAAAAATTAGGGCACCAAAACTATTATGTCGGAGGGACTACAATTCCTTTTCCTATTTAATCTCTGAAATATTTCCCAGTCTTCATCAATGAAATTAAGCAAATCATTTTTTTTTGTATTCAAATTTTGGATTTGGACTGCCAGGAACAAGTTGATCCACTTCCCATAGTGATGACACATGACCAGGTGGCATGCTTGGGTAATTGAGATAAATGACTAGGTGAAGACAGGAACAGAGCTATCATGCAAAAAGCCGGCTCTCTGGCAAGCAAAGCACAACACTCGGCAGTTACTGCCAGTTCACTGTTGCTCTAAAATATAAAATATAACTCAAAATAGAACAAATATTGGAAACTTGCATATAAATAGGAGTCATACATTGAAATGTTTGAATAATCATCACTGAGCAATTAAGAGTACATGCAATGCAGGCTGTGTGCTGTGTGTGTGCCAAATGTGTTCAGTGCCAGCTCACAGTGTGTGAGTTGCAGTCAACCTTAATCAACACGGTCATCAAAGGCAATATGGAAAAACGCAGAAGGAAGTGGACTTTTTTTCCATATTACTTCACAAATAATAATATAAATTATAACGTTCAATCATAAATTGTGACACAAAGAGAACCAGGGACAGGCAGACTTAGCATTTTAAACATGTATTGTAAAAATGCTCAGGCACAGAGAGCAACAGTTAGGAACTTTTATAATTGTATGGCTTTATTGTTAATGCCCAAGGTTCAGAAACTCAGATTCTTAGCATTTTTCTGTTATAAGTCATCAGAAATGACCAAAGCACCAAAATCCAGTCTAAGGCAGCATGAGGAATCTAAGGATTTAGTGTTAATACACAAGGCTCAGACTTTCAACTCAAGGCAGTATGAGAATCCTTCGGGTACAATGGAAATGCCCGAGGCACACAAGAGACAAACTAAATCTGCCCCTGGATTCTAAGCATTCCTTGATAATGTCTAAAGCTTAAGAGGAGGCACAGTTTACAAGAGCAACAATGCCACAGGAGAGCAGATATTCGCTCAATAAGCTACATAATCCAGCCTAGCCTCCGCCTGTGCTGCAGACTAAAGCCAGCTGTCACCTGTGCTGGGATAGGTTGGGCAGGTGGTCGACGTCCCCTAGGTAGCCAGCGAGCCAGGCCATGGTTTGGTTGATGGCGTGGTTTCCCTGCCTTTCTCGGAGGGGGGAGTCCATGGGTGTGAAGTTCTCCTGCTTGATCCTCTCCGGAGTGGCCTGTATTATTTGCTCGGCCAGCGTTATCATGTCCACCTGCGAGGGCACAGTGTGCAATTGCCTTGAGAGTACATTTTTAACACGGCGGCATTAATTATATCGAAGTGCACGTGTAACTTGCTATTCTTCCTCTGAAGGTTCCATAGGGTGCTGGTTGTGTAGCAGAATTGTATCCATTACTTCTTAAGTTTAAGAGCATTCACAGACCTAACATGTTTCAAAGCTCCTATTGTCATGCCACTGAATGTAATTAAATCAATCAATGAGACACTGAGCGAACCCCAAGCAGCGTCACATTTGGAAGGCAATCTCATGGCGGGATGCGTTGTTACTCAGCCGATGACGGGCATCTCCTGTTTGAACCGTAGCTGAAAGAACGAATCTTAACACACTCGTAATTGACGCTGCCCTCGAGAGGCAATAATAACCATCAATGTTTTGGAAAATTACGAATTATCTCTCTGCTATAAAAGGACCGCTGTCCAAAACGTCGTCTGTCGTATATAATGCTTCCAATGTATGCCAGTGTTAATAACGACTATGTTGTTGTTATTTGTGCAGCACTGTAATGTACCACTTGGGGGGGAGGGTGGGAGGTGGTAGAGCGGTTAGCGCGAAGCGCCACAAACCCAACAACCTGAGTTTGTTTCCCGCTCATGACCAATAAAACAATGGTACTTGGGAGATAAAGGCGGCCGGGCGTGGTGCCGGCCACCCATGCCCTCGTGTGACGTGCTGACCTTAAGGCTATACAGGGGGGGGGGGGGGTGGTAATTTTAGTTTTTTGTACCACTGGAAAAGCAACAAAGCAGTGGAATCGCTAAAAAGTAACCAAACCAATCAAACGCCGGTGTACGCAGTGTACACGTGTTCTAAACAAACGAGTTTAAACAACACGCGTCCAAGCGAGCCGGCGCTGGGCTCTCATCACAACCGCGCAGCAGCCGAGTCGTACCTGGAGCACCTCCATGGCCGGGAGGTATGCTTCGTTCTCCAAGTTCTCGCTGTAGGACAGCAGCTCGGCCTCCGCCATCTCCCTCTCCGCCGCTTCCCGCTGGGCCGAACCGCGCTCCAGCTCTCGCGCGGCGCTCGCGGGTGCCATGGGGAACAGGAAGACGGGCGCCTGCGCCTGGGCGCTCGTGTCGGACGACACCTCCATCTCCTCATCCCGCTGCGATGGGGCGCCGGACGGCCGACTCGCGAAGCCGCCGGCGGCGGCGGCGGCAGTGGCGCCATTGGCGGGCAACGGGGTGCCGCTCACCGCAAAGACGCCCGCGGTCGGAGGGCCGCTCCGGTCGGCGGCGAAGGGCAGGGGGTCGCTGCGGCTCGACGGGAAGGCGGGGATTGGGGAGACGAAGGCCTGCGAGGTGGCCACGTCGGGGCTGGGCAGCGGGGAGTCCTGCTCGGGGGAACCGTGGGACGAGTGTGTGGAGAGTGGGCTCCGCGTGTCCGAGATTGTCGGTGATGACACCGAGCTGCTGAGCACGCTCAGGCCTGGGGTGAGTCACGAGCGAGAAAGGCCGGCGGTGAGTTTGCGGCACAGTGCTATACTTGCGTTGAACCGCACCCCAGAGTTTTCATGGAGTGCTCTTGTCAATATCATTTGGTAACCCAGCAGCATTTGTTGTTTTAACAAGCGTGAGTCTGCTGATGAGACTGAGAATGTCAAAACCGATCGAGCGTTTTCTTTTGCTGAAATAAAATCCTGCTTGGATAATTTTGGTCTGAAGCACCAATAGGCTGATGGACTTTAAATGTGATGTTCAAGACCAACTTTACCAAACTACTGGAATATTTCCTCATGCATTTTCATTATTCCCCCCCATGGCATTAATATATTATTGAAACTAAGCAAACCCATTATTAAAACGTGCTGTTTTTACTTCACTGCAAAAAAACGCAATAAAAAAAGCTAATCTAGTCGAGTAGAATGGCCTTCATATATATCAAATATATATGATTTTACTCACCACACAAAAAACGTAACACAACAAGAAACATCAATGAAAATATCAATAGCAATTCTATGAAGCTAAAAACATGTGTGGCATCGTTATTGCAAACGGACGTCCAAGTGAAGCCAATGAAATACAAAGGTGGTTGGTTGGGGTGGCTCAGAGGACTTGAAGCCCACGTCCAAAACAATTGAGGAAATACTACAAAGGTCACGTGACATCACACGCGGGAGTGAGTCAATTTCCTTCATCGCTAATAGCCCTCCCACTCGACTCTATTCTCACCAGGTCATTGAACATTGTGAATGCGATGGCCGCACATCTTAAGAGAGGAGAGTGCTGAAATAATTTAATATGGGAGAGTGTGGCAAAATAACACCCACGTGCCTGACACAACAGTGGAAGTTAATGGATAAACTAAGAGCTAGTGAATACAAAAGATGACATAGCCATGAGGAATAATCTAGCATTTTCTTTTTTTTTGTAGAAAAACAACAACTCATATATAAAGTATTAACGATAAAAAAAACAGCGTGTATTTTTACACCGTAAACTTTTTGAGCCACCCATGCGATGATGAACGTGACACTGAGGCATCACGCGAATCAGCTCGAAAGCAAACGGGGGCAGAAAGAAGCGAATGGGTAAGGGGCTCCGAGCGAGCAGACTTACCCGTGTCTGGGCTTCGTCGACAGCTGAGAGAAAGAGGGAGAAGGCACCCCAAGGGAGTCCTGAGTGCTGGTGCCCGTGCTCCAGACCGTGGAGCCACTGTCCCCACGCCCAGGGGCCTCCACCCTGTGCGGTGGCCTGCAGCGACAACACACGCCACGCAAAGACAAATAGGTCCCCACGTGTAGCCTTAAACAGACTGTTGGGGAAAGTGCGTTAGCGAGCAGCACCTATGAAGGCTGACACTGTGGCACATGAGAGGATGGGTGGCCAGCACCACGCCCGGCCACCTTTATATCCCCAGTGGCGATGTTTAGACATTGCCACCAGGTACTCATTTGAGGCCGAGTCAGCCTAGGGGAGGCCAAGGGCCGGTTCAGATAATCGTCACTGGTGTTGGCCCGGGTACATAGGGCAGCGCGCTAACCGCTGTGCCACCGCTCCCCACCTGCAAGTGCCCCACACACACCTATGACTGACACACCATCTGTGGGCACCAAGATCACCCTGTGGCATGTGAAGGTTTGCCAGCCAATAGACTGGCCACCCTTATCTTGCCTGCTGTTGTGTGTTAACCCGAAACCTGAGTTTCCCTGAGTTTTGTTGTCACGAGGACATAGGGGATACAAGCTACCGATGAGGTTTCTGGAAATCGGTACTTTTTAGAGTTTGCAGAGATGTTACTTATGCATACAATCAAGAAAACATATTTATATGACAGTGAATATTTTATCGCATGGAGTCAAGAGCAACTCAAATGTATGTTTGGTTGGCAAAAAAACATCGGCACTTAAACTGCCTTAGCTCATACACTTACCTTAATGTGAAAAATGATTGCCATCTGCTGCTGTTGCTGTTTAGATGCATCCCTTCTGATTTCCCATCGGAGCTATGGAACGCCCCTGTTTCCATTTGCCTATTACGATTATTATTATTAGGGTATATGTTCATCTCTGTGATAAAATCCTTCTCCATGTTCATTGAATTCTCTCTATGGAGCTCAAAGGTAACCCCTGATAAGACTTTCTTGCACAATGTCCTCTCGGTTATATAAAAATAATTGACCAGATCTACGGAGCATTTTTTTAAGCATCAGTGAAATAAAACAATACACGAAACTACAAGCAGTGTTCTCTTGTTAAATATGTGTCCATTGAAAGTATTGGCACGTCCAATAATGAAAGATATCAATCACTACCTTAGGTTGGTTTCATCAAGTATTTTAGGTCAAGAGTAATATGTGTGTGTGTCGTTATTCAAGCTTCAATTAGAAGCATATAATCGGAACTATATGCTTCTAATCCGACAAGCAAGATGACATGGGTTCTCAAGTAGAGCTGTACAGACGTAGCTCTATTGTCAATCCTCTGCTTGACGAGGGCATCCCCAAGTCATGCGGGTCGGCGGGGGGGGGGTCACTTGACCATACTTCACCACGTTGGTAAGTGCAGGTTGGTGAAGGCAGGGTTTATAGACGTGGCACCACAGAAGTACAATACAGCGGTGGATTTTGCTTCACTGCTGTCTGCCGCGCAATAGCTGAGCCACCATAGCCGCGGCCTATAACGCCTATTATGCACAGCACCTATCCAAACAATAACCTGCCCGAGCTTCTCTAGATCTGATGAGGAAATCAGGTGCATAGCCCCCCCGCCACCCACCCCCAGATAATTAAAGACGATGCCACCATTGTTACGATCTCACGCTCTTATGCCATGACGCCCTGCTCTACTTTTGTGGTTGGTCCGAGAAAATTCACCGCAGATTTTCAGTAAGATGCATGAGCCGCAGTGGTGATGTTAACACAACAATGTGGATCTTGGCAAGCCATAAATGAAAGATGAAGTTTTTTTTTATTTTAAAAATAAATTTTACCAAAATAGCAACAGATTTGTTTTCCCCATTCAAAGAGCACTATTGTTCACAGTGCGATTTACAACCCTACAATAAAGGGCTGTGATGAAACCGGTATAGATCCAATCAATTGTTGATGTCTTTTTTTTATAAACATGATTTATCTACAACCTAGCAATGGCTTTAAAAGCTGTCAAGGATATTCTTGTTTTCAGGACATGAAACCCGACAGCAAACACTTACGAAATATTTTTGACAATGTATGCAATTCTTAATATAAGTGATGCAAACGAATAACTTTATAATAGAAGGTGAAGCGATAAACAATTGTGATTAGGCGTTTGTTGTGGCACCGGTGACAACTGAACAAGTACACCCGATTAATACCGCATATGGTTTCAATCTCCTCCATCAATGTAGACATTAAACATAAGCCAATAAATGCAGTGTGATTGTGGCCATGCAACTCATACTATGTATGTGTAGTGATATAGAATGGATCACTACAGCGCGTAGCTCTAATTACACCATGCAGTACCACACAGTGGGTCGCTAGCGTGCGTGGCACTGGGTGCTAGCTGAGAGAGGCTGATGAGTCCTACCGACAGAGTAGCTGATAGCAGGCACTCTGCCAGCACAGCGAGTGAATGCCACGTCACTAGGGAGCGTGGTGCGGGCTGCTGGCAGAAGGGGGCACATGAGGACGAGTCACCCCGGCCTCGGGTGAAGCACGCGATGGGCCGGGGTGAGGAATGTGGGGGCAAAGGTGACCGAGGGGACACTGGAAGTGTAGCCGGGAATCTTCTGGAGAGAGTTCCTGAAGGGGACGTGGTTAAGGGCGGAGCCGGGCAGGTGGCACGTGCAAGGTGGCCTGGAACCTTCGGGAATGTTCCCGAAGGGGGCGCGCCGAGGGCAGAGCTAGGCCGCGCTGAGAGAGATAAAAGGGAAGCCCCGATCAAAGATCGGGGTTCTCTGCAGGTGCTATGCCTTCGTCTTCCTGTCTCCGTTCCCAATGTCGTGGGTCAGACAGCACGTTGGCTGCTCTGACCCGTTTATAGTTATCCCGTGTGTAACGGTGTGTAAGAGATAGGCATATTGTAGTCCCCGTGTGTAACGGTGTTATATAGTCTAGAATAAACGTTGTTGCCTCCTAACTAGTGTCTCCGAAGTGATTCACTACATATGTATGTACGTACGTTGAACGTCTTTCGCAACGTATGTCGCCATCAATGCTAATCGGAGGTGCGGGGGAAGAAGAACAAACTAAACACACAAAAAGCAAACCTAAGAGTATGAGTACACAAAAAGCAGTTCTTGAGAAATTCTTTTTCAATCTACGTTTAAAAGTGCATAGCCCCAGTGGCTTTCTATATCGGAAGAAAGCGTTTCAGATGGCTGCAGAAGCACATCTGAAAGCGTGCAATGCAGTGACTATCTTTATTCGATGGCCAGCGAAAAGTCACCCATGCAAGGATGCTGGTTTATGTTCCCTGATTAGATCAGCAAGGTATTTCGGTTGATTCGTGGCAAGCACTTCGTGTGAAATGAGTGTGACCTTAAACTACGCACTATATAAGTAAACTGCTGTAGTCTACGCTCCATCAAAGGACGAGGGAAAAGTTAAACTCTTTTCCTGATGCCTTATCGTTAGGATGGAGCAGACCTCGACATTGGCATTTGGCCTCCTGAACCTATTGCCATCACACGAAAGAGCAGGCAAACGACGCTGCGTGTGGTTCATGGTTTGAAAGGACAAATGCGTGAGAAAAATGTACACCACAGGGAAAGCCATCTCACATTTATTATTTGCTAGCATGAAAGCCACAAGGCTTGTGGTGAGGTGACTGTGCCAACTTGTGTGCCAGAGCCCAGCCCACGAAACAAATTTGTTCGTCAAGTTATGACCGGTATATCTTGTTCTCCCCACTCATTATTTACACACTGGGCTCCAAGCCAGATGGTAGTCCTTTATAATTTCTCGGAATCCCAGCAGACTCCTAGAGAACATGAAGAGTGCTAGTTTGCATTCAAGCTTCATTGGCATCATTCAAAGCAATTGAAATGTTCACACTGGTATAAAATCTTGAGGGTCTCCTCAGTAGCACTGGTAAAAGTCATTAATCTTGGCTCTCGCAGGGGTGCCACGGCGGCAGGAGGTCGTGGGTTCGCCTGTATATTTGGAGTTTGCATGTTCTTTCTCCCCATCGTGGCATGGATTTTTCTCCGGGTCCACCGGTCTTTTCCCTCCATATTTAGAAACACGCATGTAGAGTATTTGGCTGCTATAAATTCCCACTTGATAAGCCACTTTGTTGAAGCTATCATTTGTGGCCAGGTCGTTTGTGGAAAAAGAGCTAAATAGTTCAGTGGGGACTTACCTGGTAAAATTAAAAAAAATTGTTATATGGCTGCAGTGCACATTTACAAACATCAGCATATGCTTGACTATTGTACTCTACACACATCTAAGCTGTGCACTCCCACGTTTTGCTGTTGTGTATGCGTTTCTGCTGTGGTGTGATGGTTAGCACACAGAACTTGCAATCCAAATGTTTTTGGATCATTCTCATAAATTATCCCCCCCCCCCACCTATGCCCACCCAGCAGTTGAAGCGGGTAACACCACAGCCAGTCGATCGGCAGGTCACGTGTGGTGGGCTAAAGGGGGGATAGTCTAACCTCTGACTAGCATGGAAGAGTAGGCCAAATCCCCTCCAGAGGGGCACTAAGGGTCTTGCCTCCAGTGGAGGCCCTTCCGCCAGCAGTGCTGCGAGTGAGTATTTGCAGGGCCGCCCCTTAGCCTTTTCCTATAGCGCACGGGTTACGCTAAAGCCCCCCGTGCTTGGCCCTTACCTGGCGTCCACCCCCTGCTGCCTCTGCAGCTCGTCGAGACACGCGGCCAGACGGACGTGTCCGCGTGCGTGAGCCACGCTCAGGGGCAGGCGGCCCAGCGAGTCCGGGATGGAGAGGGCCCGGCTGTTCCATTGGTACAGCACCACCGCCGCGTCGACGTGGCCCAAGGCGCACGCCCACATCTGCGCGGAAAGACACGGCGGCGTCACGCAAACGACTTTCACATCGTGCCCATTCCGACAGACGCTCGTCTTGCGAAGGGCATCGTGGACATTGGCAAGCATGCGGGAATAAAATCTCCCGTTTTGTGTGGGGTACATGCGTGCAGAATAGTCTACGCGGTGGTCAGCAGAGGGCAGCACAGAAAAAAAATCCGTGTTGTACTGTACTATGCCCCCACGTCTATGCTGCTCGCCTTCACCAAGCCACGCTGATTGTGGTGAAGGGGGTTTGCCTATATGTATGTATGAATGTTGAACTTCTTTTACACCATACATAGTCAACCGTGCCAATTGGAGATGCGGGCAAAGAACAACAAACTAACACAAAAAGCAGTTCTAAACAAATTAGTTTGTCAATCTTCCTAACATAGGAAGGAAGAGCGTTCCAGACGGCCACAGAAGCACATGGTGGTCACCAACATGCTCCGCTATTATACCTGAGCCGGAGCGTGCCGGTGAGCGCCTATGGAAACTAGATTTGATGTAAGTGCTAAAATATAGTTAGACGTGTGCATGAACACCTGTAGGACAGGAGCACCATTCAACTAGTTGTCTTTGACAACAATGATTAATATAAACCTGTAACACAAAACCACACCAACACACGAGTCATTCCATTGCTCATGTTGGAATGTGACAATAAAGTGGACATGCTGATATTGCAACAGCCTGTTGATGATGTTCAGATAACGATCAAATGCCATTTCATCACAAAGAGGAAGTGAACGCTGCGTTGGTATGACTGCCATGCCATCACTAAGCAGAATTCCTTTACTTGCCCGCACAAAAAAAAGACAAAGATCTGCCTCATAACCTTAACACACTGTTGGAGCAAGTGCTGTTAGCGAACAGCACATATGAAGGCCAGCACGGTACCCGGTGGGGTGGGTGGCCAGTACCACACCTCGCTGCCTTTGTCTCCCTAGTAGCCATGTTTACACATTGCACCAGGTACTCATTGGAAGCTAAGTCATCCGAGGGGAAGCCCAGGATCGGTTCAGATAATCGTCACTGGCAATGGCTGCGAGTGGGAATCAAACTCGGGGTCCCGGGTTCGCAGCGCAGCACGCTAACCTCGACACTGCCGCTCCCCACGTGTGCGCGCACACATACACACGCATCGCGTGTGAAGACGGAATTATTTTACTAAATCAGTGCCGCTGGGAAGTTCCTTTTCAAGAGCTTAACAGAAACACCTCTATCCACACTGAGCCAGATTTGGGCCACCATGACGTGAGAAAAAGTTTTCGAAGTAGCCTGGATTGACTCAGAGGAATGATTCTAAATTTAAATCATGCTAGATCGAGATTATTACAATAGCTACACAAACTCAACAATGTAATACTGTGCAGATGCAAAACGCACGTTCGATTATTAGGGTTCCTACGACTCAACGGACCATGGCGTGTGAACATTGGACGCCTTGGGTTAAGGTTATATTTGAATTGAACCCACTTCAATTGGCACATGCTAATGAACAAAACACATGATTGAACTTTCCATGAAATACTATATTGTATTTTTCAAGTACCTCGATGATCTGATGAAAAAGGAAACGTTTGAGTTAAGGACTGGGCGTACTGGTTTGTCAAGATGCTGGCAATTTGATGTATGTATGTTGAACTTCTTACGCACCGTACGTAACCAACCATGCTAATCGGAGGTGCGGGGTAAGGACAACAAACTAAAATACAAAAATCAGTTCTCAAGAAACGAGTTTTCCATCTAGACGATTTAAAAGTGCATAGCTCCAGTGTTTTCCTAACATCAGAAGGAAGAGGCATTCCAGACGGCCGCAAAAGCACATCTGAAAGTGCGGCGATGCAGTGACCGTCTTGGGAAACATGACAGCTAAGAACAAAATAAATAAGTACCTCCTATCTCCCCAACAACCCTCCAAAAAACAACCCATGCTTGCCCACGAGCCAAATACTTATCCACTGACTCCCTCACTCCACACACGAGCAATGTCGAATTTTTCACGGTCCAGGATGCAGAGTCAAATCAAGAATATAACTTTTACTGTCTTGTTTGCATCTTCTATATATGTCTATCTGTCCTGTTTGTGGAATTCTATTTGGTCCATGAGCTCAAATTAAAACATGATCATTTCGTTTCCACATAGCAGGCACAAATAGCAAACCATAATTTTTCACAAGTATGATGTGACGCACGCATTGTCTGACATCGTGCTGCTCGCAGCAGACATCGCACCTGTCGCGATTTTTACCTGAAGACGGGCGCTTGTGTTGCGTTCGAAACGTCGTGATTTATTTTATATTTCGATTTAAAGCTTTCGTGACTGCAGGGATTCATCTTCTTGGTTCTTTCGGTAAAGTCACGTAGAATGGAAATAATAAAATAATAAAAATAAAACATAATAAAATAATTCTCACGACGTTTCGGCCACAACGCAAGCAGCCGTCCTCAGGTGAAGAACAGGTCTGTCGGAAAGACAGCGTCTGAATGAAACACCACCAGGCTTGGAGCGTATATTATTTATACCTACGTGACTTTACCGAAAGAACCAAAGAGTAGTGAAAGTGTGGCATCACTTTAAGTTAGACAAAGACAAACATTCCCTGTTTAGCTGACACAGAGGCTGTTGGGGCAAGTGCTGTTAGCGAGCACCTATGAAGGCCGGCACAGGGCATGAGGGCGGTGGTGTGGCTATTAACCATGGGACCTACCAGATCCACGCACTGTCCTATTTTATGTATGCCTATTTTGCTTTTTTATTTTACTTAACGTAAAGTGGAGTAGCTTCCTATTCCCTCCAATTTTTCCAGGGAAAAAAGGAGTCGCGTGGCTACTTACATCTTTTTATCCACATTTATTTTCAAATGGCAATGCACTTTGATCAGTATAGGGCTGCACCTGCTATGATGAAACACTGCACTCGACAACATAGACACACAAAGAGAAAAGATCCCCGTATAGTCTTAACGGACTGTTTGGGGGGCTAGTGCTGCTAGCGCAGCACCTATGAAGGCCAGCACAGTGAATGAGTGGGGTGGCGTGCCTTTAGGTTATACAGAGTTCAACAGACAACATGACACAATGGGGGTTTTAAATGTCGATTGTATGTCGTTAGTCGATCAATATAACCAACAACAACACACAGCCTCACAAATCTGCTCTGCTTCAACAAGGACAAAACATCGTCTTCTCCAAGAATAAAAAAATACTTCAATGCTCCTTTAATCTGCTCGCTTGTACACACAAACCTTAGGGCAGGAAAATAAACCCTATAAATGGCATTGTATTCGTAGCATTGCACCAAGTTCTATTTGGGCATTTAGTGCTATTTGCTATTAATTTCTTCATTTTACTGCGTATATGCTGCATGCACGGTGCTACTATATAAAGATATGTGAATTTACTCAGGAGTGATTCATACAAGTTAACTTTGATAACTTAACATTTCATTCATACACTGTTAACACTCTCTCTACAGAATTGGCTAGGTTGATACATCTCATTCTAGGGCTTGTTCCCTGCCAGAATACGGGCAACCCCAGCTACGTACAATAGTTGAATAGCCTCGATCATGAATCGATTGCAACGGTACGAGTGACGGTCGAGTACAACAACGAAACAACTAAATTCACACACCAGGGGAGTGCAGGAGAAATGGTCGACGTTGAGAGGATCCACTTCGAATTCCAGGTCGATGCTCTCCGTGTGGTGGGACCTGGACAAAGGAAGCAGCACGTTTTCGGATGAAGAGTCCACACTGTGTTGGCGTGAACGGTAGACACAATTTACATTGTCAAAACAAGTGGGGCAGCTTCTGCCCAAAAGAATGCGTGTGCCAAGAAAGAGCGATGCTGCTCTCGGTCAATGCACCCGTCCCAGAGGATAACTTTTCATGGACTATTACGGCAACAAACGCTGTAACTCAGCGGAGGGATGTTATTTCACGGTGGTACATTTACAATTAGGTTCATAAGCAAGTCAGTCATATCTAAAAGGGACTCAAATCATGTTTATTGTGCGTTATAGATTGATTCCTTTTTAACTTCTTAATGCACGATGTATTTTTTTTACAACTGGCTTTAATGCCGATGAGCAATGACGCGCTGTCTTTAAAGCCATTAGCGGACACCCACGCTATTTTGTTTTGACAACGCCAGTGCCAAAGTGCGCATTAGCCATCACGTATACAATAAATCTGACACGTTCAGTCCACAAACAGCACCGGCACAAATAAGGAACGGTGATCATTTTGAAGAGACAGTTGCTTACATGGCAATGCTCTTTAACCGGCACATTTCGCCGTTTGCAGGACATGCGTATAATTTGTTGGCGCAGCTTGTGACAGGTGTTTCACTGAAGCCCACCGTGTGTTGGTGCAAAGGGACTACAGCTGTATGACTTGTGAAAATAATGTGTTCGTATTGTAAACTTCTAGCGCCATACCCACTTCATCACAGTCATTAAAGTAAAAGATGACCCCTGATGTTTGATTTTGAGTACCAGCACAAGTGAATTTGCAGGGTTTATAATGGGTGCAGAGGTTGAAAATGTTTGCCTTTTGTATTACAAAGAGAGAGTTTTCGCAAAGTTCGTGGACTGAAAATAATTGTAACGCATCGAAGGCATTTCCCAACTCCAGGGTTTTATTTATGAGCTCGTGTTTTGAACTTTACACGCATGTTGTGAAATTGTGCACAGCCGCTAATTAAGTGCCTTTCTCTAAGACAGGCTTCGTCTACTCCATCTGTTCTTACTGAAGATGGTCAGGCGGCAGAAACGGAAAGATTAATCTTTCCTCTCCAGTGACGGTATTAAAATAAAACCTGTTAGTTTTAATTAGCCACTAAGTTTAGACATTTCCAATAAAAATTCCGAAAATTATTTTAATATTTGCTGTTAAAGTTTAGTTCTCAGAATATGATTATCTATATTTGAGGAAACATTTATAGAACTTTGAATAAAATGTACGACAATTAATTTAAGATGCAAGGGCCAAATTTCATGTAAAGGCCACTTTACAGATTGCAATCTCTTCCCATTCCTTCTTTGTAAAGGGGCACTCAACTAAAATAAATGGCAATTAGTTCCTGTGCTTGCCCACGACTCTGACTGGGGCTTTGTATTTAGTTCGTAAAGGGGAATTTGGCCTTTTTTACATTTTCAGGAACACAGCCTTAACCCTTCTTGACAGCTATGGGGTCTATTCATGAAACACAACACCTATCACTCTGCAGCTTTTACGACAATCTCAGGATTACATGTGTTACCGACACTGCAACTATATCCGTGTTTTAAATTTGCTGTTGGTTAAGCGAGCTTTGCTTGTTATTTTTGTGGGTTCTTAGCACCACAGGCGACGATAAAGGCGTGGCCCATCCCTAGGTATTTGTCTGAAAGGAGAGCGAGGACGATATTACGGTGGTGAACGATTGGGGGGAAAGAAACACGTTCATACCTTTGACTTAAAACTATTGTGACTGCAGGAATTCATATTCTTTGGATCTTTCGGTAAAGTCACGTAGATAGGAAAAATAATAAAAAAATTGGTTTCAATTGGAATGTGACTTTACCGAAAGAACCAAAGAACATTCATACCTATCAATCCATACGGTTTACCCGTATTTCTGTTCAGATAAATTTAGTTTTCAGGTCCATACGGCGTACAGCCATTTTAATACGGTCAAAAAAATTGCCTATTTTTTGTATTTCTCTCTTGTGATGGGACTTTGTAGGATGAACATTGAGATTTATAAGGGCACGAGGTGACCAATAAGGTCTGAATTGGTCTGTAATAAGGTAAGGGGATGACAGGTATGCACATTCAACATGTGCATTTAGCATAATGTAGTTCGTGCAACACATACACAGGCTGAGCGCAGGAAATGCAACTTCAAATTTACTTTAGTCAATTGCAGAGTTTAAGCTTTGGCATGGGGCATCTAAATCCAATGGCTTAGCTTGGGGTTTGCAAGTTCAGTGGGCTTCGTATGGGATTTGTACGTTCAATATGCTTCGGACAGTTTGTGTAAGATCAACAAGACATAATTTTTAAGTCTCTGATAATTGTTTTTTTACCCTTCTATCTGGCAACAAAACTGACACCTTTTTACAAGAAGTCATGTTTGCATAGACCGCAATACCTGCAGTCATAATACAAACAAAAGAACATAACTCTGATAATGTGCACTGTCCTTGAAGTTGATTGGTCCACACCCGAGACAGCTTTCCTTAGAGCCTAGTCTCACATGGGTTGGACCAGATGACGCCAAAAGGCGCACAACTCAAAGACAATGCACCATCAGAGTATGAGAGCTCGGGGCAAGCATCTACACTATGGGAACCTCATTTGCCAGTAAAAATATGATAATTGTTTTTTTACCCTTCTATCTGGCAACAAAACTGACACCTTTTTACAAGGAGTCATGTTTGCATAGACCCACCACTGCTGGCAGAAGGGCCTCCAAGAGAGGAAGTCCTAGAAAGCCCCTCTGGAGGGTATTCAGTCGGTTCTCCAAACACCAGCCAGACGACTTGGAAGCGGTGGGTATACCCAGACTTGACCCCACCACACGCAAACCTACTATCAACTACCTGCCGTGCACCCATTTATATTGCCGTGCTGGCAGATCGAACCGGCGACCAACTCGGATCGCAAATCCCGGCGTGCCAACCGTTACGCCCGTGGCAGGTATCCCACGTCGTCCCATCGGAGCCAAATACGTGTGACAACAGAGGGGGGCCCCCTCGCCCGCGTCGTACGACGTACCTCCACTTGATGAGCGTCTGGATGAGGCGCGTGTAACCTTGCGCGGCAGCCAGGTGCAGCAGGGTCATGCCCCGGAAGCTCTTGGCGTGCACGAGCCGCTCCGCCTTGCCCCAGCACGCGCTAGCCATCATGTGCTCGCACACGGCGATGATGCGCTCCTCGAACGAACCGCCCGCCTCTCCCGCCGCGCAGCCCTGAGCCGAACGAGAGAGAGGAGAAGAGAGAGAGGCAACAGTGATGCACCATCCTACGCTGTCAACCTACCAATGCTTTTACTGTAAGATCTGACCATGTCTCACATCTCCCATTAGTACGGTTGGCTATGTGCGATGCAAACGAAGCTCAAAATACATGTCTGTCCAGTGCTCGCCGAGCTGCCTTGGATTCTGGTTGCCGAATGAATGCATTATAAGGTCGCCCTCATTACACACAAAGTGCGTGCCACAAATGAACCACATTAACTTTCTGATCTCATCAAGGAGTATAAACAATCACGCGAACTCCAGTCATGCTCGCAGCAGCTTTTGGCTCACCATCGAACAAAGACTGTCACTGCATCTCGCGCTTCCAGATGTGCTTCTGTGGCCGTCTGGAATGCTCTTCCTTCCGATATTAGGAACCTACTGGAGCTATGCACTTTTAAATGTAGATTGAAAACTCATGGTGTCTAGATGCACGAATATCCAAACCATGTAACGCGTTACAGGCATTGCACCAGTGAGCAACCTTGCCACAATTCACCAATAAAGAGGGCATCACTTTTTATTGCTATTAACTCTTTTTTTTTTTAAATAGTCAAGGATGATGATGGTGACAACCTAAAACACTGTTCAGGAAGGCAAAGAGAAAGCACCTCAACCGTCATTCCCCCGTGATGGCTCAAGGACAACTGGTTTTCATAGAGTCGTCACCGACACACTCCACATTGGTATCTCAGTCGCAGCGTGTCTGTGACCCCCATGTGAACAACACAGTACGGCAGCGTGTTGCTGCGAGGCGAAAGAGAAGCGAGATTGAGCGTGAAGGACCTCTGACTGGCGCGGTTGACTACATACGGTGTGAAAGACGTTCAACATACATAACATACAAGGAGGGAGCTTGGACCTGCCATGGATCTGCCCTTATGCACGAGGCCTTTAGAAGAAGGACGACGTTGGGTTAATTCTGAAAGGAAAGGTGTGGTCTCACAAATAACCCAGGGAATCACACCCTGGGGTCTTGTCGCTCATTTGGTGCAATGCAAAACGCCGGCTGAAATGTTTAATCAACACTGTTGCATAGAAGGGAACATGCAGTCTTAATAAAAAAATATAGACAGCTCGTATATTTATAACCAGGAAAGAACCCACTGAGATAGTGTTTCTTTTGCAGGGACATCCAAGGTAAACTGCAGGCAAAATAAAATACTTTACAAGGTACATAAAAAAAACAGTGTGAATAAAATCAATATACAATAACGTGATAAATATCGAATTAATAAGTAATGCACACATACTTTTACAAACTGTTGCTGACTTCAGATAGTGTTCAAGTGACGAAAGCTGCCAACAGCAGCATAATACAAGAAAAAGGTAAACATGTCCAAACGTTTTAATTAATATTCTTGACGCTCTTGGTAGCAGTCACTTAAAAAGAGATTGAGGTCAAACACTGTGGTGTAAGGGTCAGCACACTGTGGACACGCAGAGGGCGAGTTTATTAAACCCCCCCTGCCTCCGTCCACCCAGGAGTGCAAATGCATTAACACCGCAGTTAGTCGATCGGGAAGGCCACGTGGTGGCGGTGGGGTAAAGTGCGAACACTCACGACCTCTTCCAAAACATCTAGGCAGCGTGGAAGAGTAGGCCAAATACCATCTTAAGTGGGTCACTCTGAGGGCTCCCTCAAGCGGTGGCAGCCCCTTCCATCAACAGCGGTGTGAGTGGGGTAATTTCATCTTTGCGCCTTCACATTTCCCGCGCGGTGGACAACTGCACGGGGCTATTACTGGAAAGAGGAGCGACAGAGGGCCGCACCCGTTTATACGCAGTGCGCACTCTCGTCACTCCAGGAGCCGCATGAGTGGAGGCGCGCTCGCTGCTATGTGACCTTGATCATCTCCCGTGTGCGTGTTGGGTTTAATGCGGAAACGGGGGGGGGAGAGAGATTTGCCCGAAATGATGACAGTACCTCGCTGGTTATTCATAAACGTCAATAATAATATCGTCAACGACCGCTCAGAATGACACGCTCCGAATGTGTTCCACTGCCTTCTGGTATTTACGCGCTAAAATGAAACCTTTCCCATGGACGACCGCAGTCTCTGGATTCAAGTGACTTAGCGGCCAGTTGCGTGCGTGCTCTCTGCGTTCATCAACTTACATCCTCGCCTGTATCCGGCGAATCAGCTGATGGCCAGAGGATTTTTAGTTCACTCCAAGTTTAGCAACAAAATTCGCCACGTCAATAAACGGCAGCAGGGGGAGTAGTTTCAATGATATCCATGAGGATGAAGGCCCATAAAGGAGTAAGTTCAGATCCAATAGTGCGGTGCTGGTGTGCGTGTGTAGTTTAACTATTGTCAAAGGGTACATTGCTCGTGTTAAAAAAATCTAAGAATTATTAGCATTGAGGACGTTTTTGTTTTTTCAATATCTAGCAAGGTTGGCCAAGTAAACAGTTCCAATATTATGAGCTTGAGCATTGTCCTGTATATGCATGTTAAAAGCTACAGTTAAAAATCACAGGATCTGATATTGATCAGTCTTCTTGAGCGTTTTCTTTTAAATGCATCAGCTAAATCACATGTGAATAAAATTGCAGCATTTACCAATGAAACTGCTCATCCAACAGTGCTGTCAAATCGTGAGGGATTTTAAAAGTGTGGACAATTCTCGTTGCTCCGCCTAATGGCTTCAATTCAAGCCTCATCACGGAAAGCTCAGTTAAACTAAATATAATTGAAGCTAAATATTTCTCAGTGACAAACAAGCAACACGTCGTTCCTGTTGAGACAAAAACTGAAAAACGACACACCCTTGCGAATATTTCCACGCTCCATATTTACGCTCAAGAATGAGCAAACGAGCTGCTGCTCCTTTGCTGCAATGGACTTGTTTGGTTACGTTCCCACGACGTGGGAGTGACGAGGCTGGCTGTGTAACTTGGGAACGCAAGGCCCGCCTGCCACCCCCCCGAGGGGCATGCAACCACCCACTGAAGCCACCGTACCCCGGGGGAAGTGCACGGCGAGTGCTTGTGAGCCATCGCTTGGCAACCAGAGAGCGCTAATTCAGAGCTGGACCTATGCACGACGGGCACATTGCCACGTTAAAGAGGTCGGCGCATTCACACAAACATTGCATCACGGAGATGTGTGAGGAGTTATCCTTTCATTGTGCTGAAAATCACAGTGGCCTTTATGCAGCGGTCTATGTCCGTGTGTATTGAATTGCATTACACTGTGGGAAGCGGTAGTGAAGCGGTTAGCGCACTGTGCTACGAACCCGGCGATACGAGTTCAATTCCCGCTAATTGCCAACACCAGTGACGATTATCTGACACAGTCCTGGGCTTCTCCTCGGTCGACTCAGCCTCAAATGAGTAGCTAGTGTGGTGTTTAAGCATTGCCACACGGGAGACAAAGGTGGTCACGCATTGTGCCTTCATAGGTGCTCGCTAACTGCACTTGCCCCAACAGTATGTAAAGGCTATACGGGGGACCTTTGTATTGTTTTGTATTTCATTAATATATTTTAAATACAATGAAACTAATTGAAAAGTAACTTTAAATTATACCATTATGATAAATACGAACTTTTTTTTAATAAGAAGTATACAGGAGGATGTCTAACTTTTGGAAAGCCACAATAAACCACTGTAATGAAAAGATTGTAAAACGACGGGTTGGTGGTAGATAATAGGAGGTGGTTGAATTGTTGCCAAAATCTGAAAATTACTGACATTTCCTGTTCACATCAGGCTTTTTTGAGGTTGCATAAATTTGCCTCGATAAGCAAACAATTAATGCATCCAGAAGCAGTATTAACCAGCCCCCACCCCCAAAAAATCTTCCCCATCAGCAAATTCTTTAGGCAAGGGGTGCTCTGATCACCACAGGAGACCCACCATGATACACAATCCCTGCTTAAATATTGAGTTTCTTTTCTTATTGTCGTTGCTGTTGTTGTAATTTGAACCTTAAACTACTCCGGTAGCATAGCCAGATTGTGATTAAAAAAAGATTCCAGTGGATGTGATTCAAGGTTCCTTTCACGAGCCAGTGATATAAACCAATGTGAAACCCCTCTACTATTGCAATACGCATACGATTTCATTTCCAGTCGGAGAATATTTTAAAATTATTATTGATCACATTTCACCAGTTTTTTTTATTTGAAGATGATTCAGGCTGTGTGCACAGTACATCATTTGCAAACTAAATGTCGGGATAAAAGTATTATTGCGCTGCACAAATGAATGCCATGATTTTAACAAACTTGCACTAAATTCACAGGAATATTTGTAAGATAGCCAAATATTTACTTTTAAATTTCACACATATCACACATTAGGAGAAATTGTGAATGAAGTGATTATAATGGTGTAGTTGTGTTTTCACAAAAGATGGATTGCTGAAAACTGTGGTTGAGAATTTGAATATGAATATAAGTTTTGCAATTGATCATTGGTCTAAACAAAAATAACTCTGCGGTGGCCGGGTGGCTCAGATAACAGAGCGATAAGCTGGCACCGCAGAACCTGGGTTCAATCCCAGCCAGCTGCCTGTGACTAAACTGGGCTCTCAAGTGTTTGGAAATTATGGTCTTAGCCTGGTCACCCATAGCTGCTCACCTCCCCACCCTCCCATCACATTACATTTGGTTCTGCATTTCATTCGTCTCAAATTCAGCTCTGAGAATGAAAAATATAAGTTTGACAACCATGTGACCTACATTACTCTCAGCGGCAGAGCGGATGGGAAAATACTTCCTTGACCTTGCGGACCAGAGGTTACTTTAAGGGATCTCAGAGTAAGCTCTGCGATATCTGCTTTTGAGGCCTGTTCTGTAACATGAACTATGTAAACTTTAGCTGGCAGATTTGACAAAAACAAATGTCAAGCTCATGAGCTGATCTATCAATCAATCGTGTGTCTCCTTCGGACACGCCACGTGTGTATCAAGTCCCTCTGCTTAATTGAGGGGCATAACAT